ATTACGCATTTTTAGGCATGAAGAGTCACTGTGGTGGTCACGAAACGTTTCCTATACTTGGGTACAGAAAAACGTTACGGCGCGTTACATAGGGGTGGAGGGAGGGGGGTTGTTAGATCAATAATCTCCAAAAATTGCGTGATCTCCCTTAGGTTGTCATATGGGAGTTCAACGCAGCGATAAAACTCGACTCTTAATCCTACTTTAACTAATGAGTTGGCATCTTACATTTTCACCGTTGTTCTGTGTTAATTAGTGACAATTGTCACACGTTCTAAATTTACCCATTTCAGAGGAATTAGGTTTGACGACCGCTTTAGTGACCTAGTAGTGTTCGCCAATTTGCGGTCATTGTTGGCTCATGTTTCTATTTATATATCCAGAACATTACTATTACGAAACTAAAGAATAATAATAATTAAAGGGATAATTTTAGTTATAGAGTGAAACAAAACGACGCGACGGCGCGTTTTGGATTGTGAATTTTTCATACGGACATATCGCTTCACGTGTCTATGGACTAGAGGATTAATCACAGTCAAACAAATTAATCAAATGAATTTGTCTCAACTCTCAGGCTATGAGACTGTAATTTTGTTTATTATTCTTATAAGAGTATTGTTTACATACGTTTTATACTTGCTGAAAGTCAATGTTTTTATTTATGTAAAGGTTATGTATAGTGAAGGGAACAATAAAATTACACTGCACTAAAAACATCCGGGTTCAACGTGTATTATTGCTTTTTAATTTTTAATCAGATTTGAATTTTGTGTATTATAATTTTCTGGCGGACAAGACGGAAATGCCCTTAACGCATTTTCTATTTAGGCAAAGTAAAATGTATATCTTACGTGCGTCCATAAATTACGTGAGGTGTTTAAGGGGGGGAGGGGGTCGAGTCCAATCACATTTAATCTTACGTTGGAGAGAGGGGGGTCTCGGTAAATATCACGCAATTTTTTTTTCTGATTGAAAAAAAAAAAATTAGGAAAACGGTTGACCTAGCAAAAGAGCTGCAGAGCACAGGCGATCAGCCCACATTGCACCAGCAAGCCTAAGCAAGCGCGTATGTTCCGCAAAGTGCGACCCTCACGGATTGTCTCAGAAAATTAAAAAAAACACCTCACGTATTTATGGACGCCCCCTTATCTGGGTTTTAAATTCAGCACGAAAAACTATACTGACGTTAAACGATTAGATATGTTTTCTAGTATTATCAGCCTTGAAAATTTAGGTAATATTTTTTGCCACTTCTCAAATAGGTATTTAATAATAGAGAATTCTTGTGAAATACGTGTTTTTTTCAACCAGACTTTAAAAAGAATTTGTAAACGACATAGGTCTATAAATTTTTAATTAGGTTTTGCAGCGCGCCATCTCAAGGTCGCGATATCAGCTTTACTGATATTGAGAGAACTACATGAAAATTGCATATAAAAACTTCGAGATTCGTATCGCTATTTGAAGTTACACAAAACCGACAGAGGGCGCCCTTGGGCGTTTTTAGGGTGCGTACAGACTATGTAACATATCTTAATATATATATTTCTTCTGTGCGTGTGTATGTGACTGAACTTCTCTCAAACGACTGGACCGATTTTGATGAAATTTTTTGTGTGTGTTCAAGGGGATCTGGGAATGGTTTAGATTCACAAATCAGCGCGGCAGATGGCACTGCAGTCGGTACTTTCATACTTTGCTTAATATCCTAATCGCTTTAAATATCATGCAGGACAACGTCTGTGGGGTCCACTAGTGTATTATATAACTTGTGTTTTATAACACGTCCACAATATGTAACCTTGTTATTCAACATTATAACATAAAACAATACTGTACACATTAGAATAACAATGCAATATAACAATGTTATATAACCATTTTAAATAACAAAAGACAAACAAAAAAACGTAGATGCTGGGTTCGTCTTAGCATACATATCAATAACATGTTTTATAACATTCAGTGTCCACATCATCTGAAACATGTTGTATAACATGTTATGTTATATAGTCTGTACACACCTTTAAACTGCATTTCAGACTGAGCCTTTAGGCGATGTTCAAGATATTATGTTAATTATATTGAGCGAATAATTTAATTATTGATTTGATTTTATGTGATTACCGAACTTTGTTTTTTTTTATCTGACCTCAATAGCTTTGATTAAGCTGAAATTATTGGTATACATTTCTTAATTCAGAGAAGATTACATCCTATAAAAAATAAAACAACAGGAAAATGCTTTAGGCTCTTCATACTAATACTAAGTATGAGTAGAGTTAGAGTATGTATTAAATGGCATTGCTTTATCAAAACAGGCCCACATGGAATCAAAACCAATATCTCAAGAGTAAAACACTGAAACATGGAGGTCATAAGCATCATGTCACAGACAAGATAAAAGAAATAGCAGCATCACGCCACACACTTGGAAACATGCCCAATTTTATTGGCCTCTCAATATTATTATTGAATTTTGATAAGTATTCAATAAACATGTTTACAATATTAAGCATAGGTAATGTCTATTTAATTAATAACTTAATCTTATTTGATAGCATGTATAATTAATTTATTTTTAAAAATTAATTTATTTCCACGATAAAAAAATAACCTTCTTGTTTATAACCCTAACCTTGGATATAATGTTTTTTAAATCTTCATTTTAAAAAGAAAATAGTATCATATATAAGGTAAATACTACATTTTGAAAAAACAATAATTGATCTTATTGGAATTTTCATTAGAATTATATTCTCATCCTAGGTGGAAATAGTTAATTTGAGGGTACATAATATTATCAATTATTTAGAAAGTTTATACAGTAACTAAAACATTTGCACTTTATGACTATTAATACAACTTTTTGTTTTCAAAAAAGTAGCCTTGTTGTTGTAATCTTGGTCTTCAGGTAAGAATACTAAAGAAATCTAATATTTCAATCAAATGATTGGTGCTTAACACTTAAAAAAATATATATTTTTATAACTTATTAAGCCCTATAATACTATTTATAAATTTTTGTTTTAGGAAAATTGTGTAACTTGTAGTGTTCAATGTGATTTATAAACGCTTTTAATACTGTTAAATTATCACATATATACTAGTGGACCCCACAGACGTTGTCCTGCATGATATTTAAAGCGATTAGGATATTAAGCAAAGTATGAAAGTACCGACTGCAGTGCCATCTGCCGGGCTGATTTGTGAATCTAAACCATTCCCAGATCCCCTTGAACACACACAAAAAATTTCATCAAAATCGGTCCAGTCGTTTGAGAGGAGTTCAGTCACATACACACGCACAGAAGAAATATATATATTAAGATACTGTTAGATTACATTCAAACTAAACATGAAATTCATAACTACGACTAACCTGAGCACCATCAGCGAAGACTTGACTGCTACTACTGCAAAAACTCGCATCACTACCGTTGGGTCCGTCGCCGTTATCTTCCAATTTAGAACTCATTTCCTTTTCGTTTTCCATTCGATATCTCTTACGAGACATTATCTCATGGCACGCCGGTATATTCACGCACAGTAGACCTTGTACACTAATTCAGTTTATTACTTTTAACAATTTCGAAGTTGATGAAAATAAGGTTTTTTGTTTTGACAGGTAAGGATTTCGTAAGAGTTCTATTTTTAAAAAAATACCGTGATTACAACCGCGACGTTATTGTGATTAGAATCACACGTGCCTTTAAAACGACAAAATTTATCAAATAAATAAATTATTTTAAATTAACATTACTCAGTTATCGATAAATGAATAAAATTATCACTAAAAAGAATTAATAAATACAACACGATCGACGATAAAACACTAAAACTTCACTCAGAGTCAGTCGGTAAGCTACGGCCTACGGCAAAATTCTACTATATAAACCACAGACAGCAGAGGATTCAAAATAGTGACAGATAAAATATTGACACTATTGTCAGATAAGCGCTTCGTGGTCATCCTAATCTGTGTTAACTAGTCACAACGTAAAGCTGGGTATCCACTATGTTGGCGAACCTCTTGCGCTCCGCGCTCCTGCAACTACTCCATATAGTGGATACCTTCGCGCTCCCGGAGCGAGGAACGTTTTACGTTGCGCGCTGGCGGTTTTTGAGCGAACACATAGGGGAGCTCAGCCTGTTCGTGGACGCGAGCAAGATATCACGTAAGTGCGTACGTGTAGTATATCACGCTCCACGCGGATTGTACCAAAACTTTATTGTGCTGTAGGATCCCCAGAACGAGAATTTCAAAATTAAATTTAAGAGAAGACTTAGGTGTGACGAAGGGTGGAAATCGGAAGAGGTATTGGGACTGCCAAAGCAAAAAAAACACTAATAAATATCGATAACTTTTATTTTAGGTCAAACACAAAGAAATGTTTACATGTTTCTTTTATATTATTGAATAATATAATTGTTTCTTAAAAACAGCTACCAAGATCCCAACGCACAACTTGGTAAATAAAAAAATGGAATGTGAAAGTCCAATTTTGTCACAATATGGTTAATTGCATTCAATGCTTATCTCAATACAACAATTATTTCAAAACTAAAATTCTTTTGGAATCAAGGCATCAATAACATCGGGAATAATCTGTCAACTTAAAAATTGGACAATTCACATCGTTATAACATATATAAATACAAACATAAATATAAATGTTTAGAAATCGAAATGTGGCCAGGCGAAGCTACTTTAACGACGGCTGCTATAAATTAGTACAAAATATATCACAGCAATATTTAAGCCCGACAGAGATCCGGGAGAGTTCATAAAGAAAGAAAAAATAGTATTACATAGTAATTTCAATTGTTTCTAACTAGAAGAGTGAATATGACTCTTTAACGGTTACACAGGGTTAATTATTGTTAATTAGGCAGTCTACGGTTTAATTTTGGGCCCGAGTATGAATGCACAAGGCGACACATGGCGGATGGAGCGTGGAGTGACGTGCAGGTAATAAATAAGCGATGCTAGAGCACTATGTCGACAGAGCCAGCTGAAGAGCCTCCTTGTGATCGTTGCTCAGTTGCATCAGACACGAGTTGAACATTTCCGCATTACTCTGCAAAAATCAATATCATTACAAATTCATTCATTCATAGTGAGTACAGTTAACCCCCCCCCTATAATGCGGTAGACCCGGACCGTGTTAAGGGAGCATTCAAGTATAACGTAACGCGTTACATGGGGGGGTCAATAATTTCCAAAACTTGCGTGACGTAATACCTGAACGCTCCCCTATAGACATCGCGTTGTAGAAGTATTCTCGTAAAAAAGTTTTTTTAAACAATTCAAAAACTAGGAACACAAATTTAATAAAGTTATTTAGTTTAGTTTTATAACAACACCATTGAAACAGGTGCAATGGTACATAAACCTAATTAATTAATATGAGCAAATTATTATAATCACCTGTATCTGCCGCACCAGTGCCACCATCTGTGCAAAGACCGCGTCGTCGTGTGGCACGACATCCGTGAGGAAGGCCTCCGCTATGATTGCGATGACGCGTGGAACTGCGTCGGGCGTGTGCAGGGACGCGTGTCCGCCGCTCACCAGCTCACACAGCAATCCGTACACGTGCGGCGCTTCGTCGGCGGCCTCCACCACCGGCAGCCACGTCAGCCTGAAATTATTCATCATTTAACTTTCAACCACTACACAATTACTACTACTGTTTTACCAATTTAGTTTTAAGTTAGTTCAAGAAATATTTTGAATGTGCTTTCTATTGAATTATCAACAACTTATTAATTGTATTTAGAAACAGAGCCAAAGTGTCTCATTTAATACAATGGCTTCAATTTATTAAACATATTCCTTTTATAACACGTTACGATGCGGGGCGGGGATAGAATTACGCTTTATTATTAATATTATTTTCGACTTTTCAGTACTTTACACCACATAATGGTAACTTTTAGGTACAGAGTCACTGGGTGGTTACGAAACGTTTTACTATACAGAAATATACAGAAAAACATTACGGTGCGTTACATGGGGGGAGGGGTCAGTAATCTCCAAAAATGGCGTGACTTAATACTTGAACGCTCTAATAAAAACCCACTCACCAATGCCTTATAATCTCGTCCCTATTAATTTGCGAATGGTTATACTTGATGATCTTCGCCACGGCCGATATGGCATTTTCTGTTGCGTTGATATTTTCTACGGATCTAGAGTCGGGCTCCGCTATGAGCGCGGCCAACAAGGGCACGGCCCGAGCGCAGGCGGCCGCGAACTGCGGTCCCGCGAACTGGGCCAAAACCCCGCAGCCGTAGGCCGCCGCCTGTTTGATCTCCGGCTCCCTCTCCCTGAGGCCGTTGAGCATCGGCTCCAAGAAGATGTCCTGGTATTTGACGCAAGCCGGTCCTCCGAATTCGATAACGTCGTCGAAGATGCATATGGCCCATTGGCGGTCGGCGTAAGGTCGGGAAGGAGCCAGCAGCTGCACCAGGTGTGGTAAGAGAGAGTCCAAATGGGGGTAGAAAGCGTCGCGGTAGGCGGCCATCAGGGCGTGGAGGACGTCCGCAACGCGAGATAAGCCGTATACGTCTTCGTTGTCTTCGTCTGCTAATTGCTCTTCCACTACCTGCAAAAGTAATTATTTTAATTAATTTACATTAAATAAGAGCCCGAACTGCCCAAGTCAGAAATGTATCGAGGGAATGTAAATATTCAATTATATTTAAGTTCATTTTTGAAGTGAAAACTTCTTTAGCGGGTTGTACACTTTTTTTGGAATGGGTAAAAAATTTTAAACTCGCGTCAGGACACGTGACCTGATCGAAAATTCGTAAGACGGATGGAGAGTAGACAGCTGGCGTATTTAATGTAATATAAATATTGTATTCTATCACATAAATGATAGTACTTTTATATTGATAATTAATTATTCCAAAAAATAAAAAATGCACAACGTTAATATTTAAGTTTTCACTTCTGCCGGCACTCCCGGAGTGCAACCCGTCGTTTTTTTTCCATACTAAACATGTATATTCTGGATCATAATATAAATCATACATTTATTTGTTTAATACATATAGGCCGGTCACATTTATTGCATATTAACATATCTTAATATATATATTTCTTCTGTGCGTGTGTATGTGACTGAACTCCTCTCAAACGACTGGACCGATTTTGATGAAATTTTTTGTGTGTGTTCAAGGGGATCTGGGAATGGTTTAGATTCACAAATCAGCCCGGCAGATGGCACTGCAGTCGGTACTTTCATACTTTGCTTAATATCCTAATCGCTTTAAATATCATGCAGGACAACGTCTGTGGGGTCCACTAGTATATATATATGTTGTTTACCTCATCATAGTCCTCATCAGCTCGCTTCTGTCGTCTTTCGGTAGCGCGTTCAAAGTGTTCCGTGAGCAGTTTGTTCAGGATACGAAGAACTTCTGCCATGGACTCTTCAGACAGGCAGCCGGTACCCAGCACCTCGATACACTGTCACAGACACATTTGTTAAGTGTAAATTGAGTTGCTTAAAACATGATTACTGCCTCAATTTGATCATCGTCAGTTAACAAACTTGTCCAATATGCATTAAAACACTTTTATAAAACTTAATGTTCTAATAATATTGCTAAGATTTAATCTTAACAAAAAAAGTGCAAGAAATTGTAAATCAGAATTAACAGAACAGTAATGATAATATTAACTTTTGTTCAGCCTCACAAAATAATTAATAATTATGTCAAAGCAATAATATAAAATAATAAAAGTAAACAAAAAATCTTGGTCATACTATGTCCATATAATATGTATGTATCTGTTTCCTACTTCATATTTGTTAATTCTACTATTGAAGAAGATATGTAAACTATAAATAGACATATTGGTTAACTCACGATATTAACTGCACCGTATGAGTAGGTAAGAGACAAAAAAAAGTACCTTCGCCAGACTGTTGAGCAGCTCAATTTGCACCTCCTGCTCAGGCTCCGAGTCGATAGCCTTGAGCAGCTCGGGCAAGATGTACGCCCACATTCCCTGTATGTACTGGGGGCCTTTTATTTTGGCGCACTCGAGCAGATAGGGCAGGGATTCCGCGGCCGACATCCTCACGTTCTCGTGGAAGTAGAACTTCAGCATCGGCACCATCAGATTCACAACGTGCTCCGCGTACTCGGAGAAGGCTTCCTTTAGCTCTCGCGCGTAGCAGACTAACATCTCACAGGCGGAGGCTTTGTCTTCCAGGCCTGGAAAGCGTCAAACGTTCGTTATAAATATAATTAAAATAGTAACAAAAGTACAGATACCGGCAAACATCTTGAGCATTAAACAAGGGAGTGGGGGGAAAGTTTGCGCAACGCGGGACACAAACCTCAACTGGTTTACCAATCACGCGATCGACACGTCACTCAAAGTGATACCTAAAAATCGCTTCTGCAGGCAGGACATTTGTTCAAAATGTTTGCCGGTATCTGTATGAAAAACACGAAAATACTCTGTGGTCGTAATTAGAACCGAACGGAAACGCGAACATATAAAATCTATAGATTGAAGAGTAACATATTTTTCACATATAATATAAATGAAATTCTCACCTGCAGTCTTGATGCCAAAGTTCTGTTGTTCACCAAGTGAAACAAAATGCCAGTCAAGGTCTCCATCGATAGTTTCCAGGTCTTCGTTGTCGAGTAGTGCTACTTCAGGCTTGATCGCTGCCGTTCTCATAACTGGCTCCATCACCATTGGTAAGTATTGAGCAAACTTCTTGCCTAAAGATTTTTATTTAACAATTATAACAAATGAAAACTGGAGGAAGTCAATTTGTATAATATCTATTAATACAAAGTTAAACTTTTAACTACAAAATTTAATATTTACTGTTTAAACATACATCAAAATCATAATACATAAATTATAAGAACTAACAGGCAGCCTATAAAATGTTTCGTTTACTAGCAGAGCAACAATACTGTTAGATAAGTAAAAAAATATAATAAAAAAGGAAATTTTGAATTATGGTATAGTAAAAGAAGAGTGAATCAAAATATTTATAATAAAAAGGTGCATGAATCACAATAATTAAGCCATGCTAGGAATGCGATATGGACAAGTGATTCTTAAGGATTTACCATTAGAGATTTCAAGGAAGAGCTTTCACTCTCTCTCTCTCAAATAAAGATACTAGAGGATCCATAGCCTGACTGTATGATCTTAAAGATTGGCCGAGGTATTTCAATGGCATGTGTATAAGAATAGCAAACGCTGTGAGTAACCATAAATTTAAATTAATTCTTAAGATGTTTCTTAGTTTAAATTGAACTCCTTAATCATAAAGGTTAATAATTGTATGATTACATTAAATAAATTATCTCTTTCGGTCTATGATAGACTAGATAGTTAAGTAAAAACAGTGTAACTCTGCCTAATGAAGGTTATATTATTATACATTTAAGAAATTCCTACATTTTATTTTACAACAATATATTGGTTACCCTTGTAAAATATTTCATATATATATTAATCAAAAATTTTGCAAATACATATATTCAAACTTAATGCTGTAAAATACACAGAAACAAAATGACGAATTTAGAATATAATTTCAGCCTGTCTAATAAAAGCTCACCCATAATTTTGCAGATCCGAGACCAGGCAGATATGAGATAGGAGGTCTGCGGGTCGTCAGCGGGCAGGGCTTCTCCATCTGTGTGCGTCTTCAGCAGAAGGTCCATCACCTCAGAAGCATCTGCCATGAATTTCTGCTCACCCACCGCTAGTCCTAAAAATTGTTTATCCATTAATATCTACGACACAATCCAACCACATTTTTACAGAATTATTTCACCGAAAATTATAACAATAGAAGCACACAGCATCAATAAAAAATTTGATATTGGAATAACTAACAAACAAAGTATCACAGCAAATGCCTTGAATGAGTCGAGCAGTTTTGATTGAGATTTCAGTGGAGCATTATAGTGTTAGACATTGGACAGTTGGGTGGGTTTAGTTGATATTGATTAAAAAGGAGATTGCTGCCCTGAACCCACTCGTCATTATAATTTAAGCTAAAGTGTATTTGTGACAACATCTACAGTGAGCACAAAATAAATCATTAATTTTTTATAACAATTTAAGTAATCAAATTAGTGTCATATCAACAGCTAAACCAACCAATTGGTCAATAGACCAAAAAAAAAAGTCAGATAGTTCTCATTGACTCTTTCATCACTAATATAGGCCATACACACTACGATCTACCGGAGAGGTCACCTGTGCAGGTATGCCTGCGTAGTGTGTATGGCCTACATAAGGGATGTCTGAGCACCACACTAAAGTTCAATCTTGTCTATAGATACTTTATACAACCGTACAACTGACTGGGAATAAACTTTTGTACACGCGTTAGAAGTTTTATACTTCTTTTGGGTAACAAGATAAAAAATGTATTCTTCGTTTGTAGGAAAAGCGACACTAACTTCAGGGTGTCGCTTTTTTGTGACGGTCTGCGAGCGCAACGTTAAAATTAACTCATAATTTCTCCCCTAACGCTCCAAAGGAAGTACTTCTTCAACTTCAAAAAAATATTTTTACAGCAACCAGTCAATAAAAAAAATAAAAAAAAATTGTCAAAAGATGCGATAGAACTTACCAATAAGACTGACGCATTCGATAGTCTTGCCTCGCAGCAGTTTCAGTTCCTCAGTGTTGGCATTTGCTATGATGTACTTGAGGCAGGGCATGAGGCGGTCGTAGTACAGCACGAAGTCTTTCTCCACCGTATCGGCCACCGATGCTATGGTGGTCACTATCTGCTCCAGTACCAGCTTTGTGCCCTTTTCCACCAACTGTAACAGCAACAAAATTATAAATATGGCAACATTTCAATAGAAATTAAAAAAAATATTTTTAAACAGGTTAATTATAATATTTATTAAAAATGTCTGCGCACTGAGATCCGTGACTATCTATAATAGATAGAAACGGAGCAAAGTCCACATTTAATTTCCCAATGGTATGGAAGTGACCAACAGATTGAGCTAATTGGCCACAAACGAACATTGGGTATAGAAAATATACGAGTGTATACAATAAACACAAACCTCTTTGAACTTGGCGGTAAGAATTGCCTCAAGCTTGTCCATCAGAGGTCCCAGATATTGGGTGAGGATTGGTTTTGGACAATCTTCACTGAAGTTCACCAATGCAGCTGCAGCATGCGCCTGTAACAAAACCAATTCAGTATATATTTTTAGAAAAAAAAAAATTGTTGCTTCATATAAACATCTATAATAAGTCAAGGAGACACTATTAATCTTATAAAAATAAGATATTATTCTGTATCATGAATTTTTTTGTTTACTTTAACAATTAGGCTTTAAACCTATTGTTACTATAGAAGCTTGCAAATAATGTCTATTATAACTAGTCTGGCCATAAATACTGTAAAATAAAACCTGTTTTTTTAACTTTTTAATTATTTTGAATTTGGAACGTGTCTATTATTATAAAAACTTTTTTAGATTTTGCGCCATTTCACATATTTTTTCGTGTTCATTAACAAATTACAATATGGAATGGGGTGTTAAAGAAAATAGGATTGTAGTGATCGCCTTGCACAAAGTGGGTATAGAGAGATTCAAAAGCTTGGTATCAGCCGTATGTTCGTATATCTTACGTCTGTCGAAGATCTAAAAAGATCGGCCGCGTGCTGTTAAAGCTACAAAGGCAGAATTCGTCGAAACCCCATTAGGAATCAAAAAATTGTATCGCGAGATTTTTATTTTTTGCTGAGACTAGAGAAAAAAAATGTAGGTATAAATTTTAATATTACATTTTTCATAAAAAAATGCATTTTCATTTGTAACAGAACTGATGGGTATAAATAAATTAATATAATTTAAAAATAGTATTACTCATTTGATGTGTATGGTAAAAATTACCTGTACTCGTGGGTTAGCATTATCATCGAGAACCATGAGTAGACCGGGAACAACTTTGTCGTGGAACTTCTTCTCAAACACCGGAGCGAAATCAGTCGACATTTGACCGACTGCGTTACATGCGGCGTATCTCACACGTGGATGCTGGAATAAAAACATTTTCATTTGGTTCATCTGTTAATAAAAAGAGTGGCGGAGAGTTTATTTTCAGTTCTTTTCTTATGTAAAATTAGAAGCATTTAATATGTATTTCTACATTGTGTTATTTATGATGAAATGAATAAATGATTATGAATTTGGCAAAAATAGGCCATCTTTGAAACTTCTCTTATGTTAGCAATGAAGTGGCCTTAATTAGCATAATGAAAAAGCTTGCGAAGACCTAGTAGGCCAAGGGCAAGATTGGCGACGTTAAGTGGTACTCATTTAAGCCTATTTTTATTAAATGAACATTCCGCTGCTGACTCATTGATTTAGTAAGAAAGAAAACGTATAAATTCAATTCAAGTACACACAACTGCAATAATGTTGAAAAATTATTAATTTTTTAGGAACATCAAACTAACAATGAGTTTTTGAACTTTGTGAAACCCTTCGGACCATTTGAAAATTTATAACCAAAAAATGAATTAGGCAATTTTTACACCCCACCTGCTGGAATTAGTCACAACAAACTTTGTTTATCTCATTGTATACTCGGTAGTTTCAATAAGGACAAGCCACCGTGGTATACTGTTAATAATGATGTGCTATCTAGATTTAACAGAGTTGCAGCTTGATAAGTTAGAGCGCTTACAAAATGTTAGCATCAGATTCATATTTGGACTTCGTAAATTTGACTGGAATATTTTAATCCTAAAACTCCTAGTTACTTAAAGAAAAATTTTATGTTCCTTTCTGGCGGTAGTTTTGACTTGCGTTCCTTAGACAATCTAATTCTTGAAACTCCTACTCATAAAACTGAATTCTACCACTCCTCCTTTACTGTGCAAAGTACCTATTGATATTAGACAAGCTCAGTCTTTACATTTATTTAAAAATCTTCTTTTTGATCATTTTCTTTCTGCCTCGTAATTAGCTCTGCTAATATATATTAATTTTGACTCAGTTAACCTTATCATTGGCGTTTACATTTTTGATTATACATATTATTAAATATTGTAATTTTTTCTTTATTTTATTTTGATTTTTTTTTGTTAATAATTTTTGCACTTCTTGTACTCTACACTCTGTAGGTGTTTCTTTTTAATAGTTCCACATTAGGGTTGCCTGGAAGAAATCGCTTATTAGCGATAAGGCCGCCCGTTGCCCTTTAACTTTAGTTAAACTTGCTTTTTTATATTTTTTATATGTATGTTTTTGAACAAAGTATAAATAAATAAATACTTACAGGGTCCGCCAAGTAATTGAGCACTGCTGAGACAACTTGGTCCAACATCTGCTCCATCTGTTTGTGGCAGCCTTCGCCAGCCGAAGACACGGCCATCAAGGCCGCGTGGCGTCTCTTCCAATCCTCAGAGTTCAACATCTCGGGCACTTGGCCCACGATGAGGCCTAGCATGATCTTGCCTCCGAGGCCGCAGCAAATGCGGTCCAACGCCGATTCGGCCGCTACATAGTTCCTGCAAACATATTCATTCTATTAACAACAGGACAAGTTTAACAGATTATTGAGAGAGCTTCGGAGTTGGGTATGGGTATATATTGGATTTGGGTCGGAGGAGGCCTTTGCCGACTGGCAAACAGATCTGCAGAAATTAAGCAAGATCCAAATATTAGAATAGTTTTTTTTCAACCTTCTAATATCTAGTGTAATATAATGATCTATGTTTATGGGTGTGCCTAAGTTGATCTGAATAAATTCTATATTATTATTATATATTGGATAAAGCATCATGTAATACCAATACTTCGAGATTGAAAGGTGTGAAAAAATAAATGATAAATATCGCTTGTCATCAAGGGACTGACATCCAGGCATAAAACAGCAAGAATGTTAATTAACTCGATGTTAATCTTGTAAAATTCTATGTGGCTACATTCTAGTTAAATGAAGCCAAAGAAAGAATTTTACTATTTTAAAAGATATTCACTTTATCCACTTAATGTGAGAAAGTAAGGATTATATCATACGATTTTTCTTTCTTAAAACATTTGTCATACTTTAGCATACCTATTTAATACTGATAGTAAAACTTATTAAGAGACTAGCTGACCCAGCAATCGTTTGTTTTGCCATGTATATTATTTCTAGGAAACATTTTTTTAGTTCAATAAAAATAACTATCTGCTATAATAAAAAATAGGGACTGATCGTAGAGAGGTGAAAATAAGGGTTGTATGTATTTTTGTACGCTGTGTAAAACAAAACAAAAATACAAAAAAGTATTTTTTTTTGCTGTGGTAGACACCCCATATGGTAGGTGAGGGGTACCGGGTTCTTTTAATTAAATCGTTAATTTAAATTTGTTCTCGGCCTTTGGGAGGGTTGTGCGGGGCGAGTGCCTAAAACCGTACATGGAGGACATGGTCGAATTTGTAAAGACAAGCACGAATTATACAAAATCCTATACTTGACGCTGGCTAATGCACAAATCGTGCCAGAGCCATTTAAAAACACACGCATAAAAAATTTCATAAGGATCGGTCGAGCCGTTTCGGAGAAGTAAAATTTTATATATTAGATATTTATTGATGATAATTAAGACTTAAATTTACAGCTAGTGACACGCGACACTAGCGATCGATTTTTCTTTGACATACTTTGCAAATCTGACTACCATGAAAAATTATTAGTTGGGATTTACCCATATGTCTAGCCTTATGTACACTAAACACACTATGTGGCTTTCAATTGATAAAATATATTCAGTTCCGTAGACTGTATGACCCCCCACGACTTCACAAACTTTATCTCTTAATAATATTAGTACAGTGGAATCTTGATAACAATGTCAAGGCAAGGTCAAAAAAATTCGAGTCAACGAGTTTTCGACTTAAGAACTTCGAGAGGCGCGATATCTAAGTGTATATTTCGATTTGTAGAGTCGAATTTGAATAACAATTGAACTTCAGTTTTGTTGTATATATTTTTTTATAAATGTATTCATTCATTGCACGCGTACAAGACAAAAACAATATATTAGAAGCCAAGAACCCGAACATTCATTTTGGATTTTATTGCTATTATTTCGGGGAATTCCAAGTAAGACGTCATAATATTTACTAACTACGACTTACAGGTCCTTGATCTTTGAAATTCGAGTTGTAGAGTATAAATATGTATTATCAATACTTCGTAGGGAAATAACATTTTGTTTGAGTTACAAAGTCTAAACAATTCGAGATACCGCATATAAGTATGGCATGACACTGCCGCCTCTTATTTTTGTATGGACTATCGGAAAATACTAGAATTTTTGTGGAACAGATCGTTTGACTTTCGTAATTATTCCGGCGAGTTCGACCAACGCCCACACGATTGGGCCGCCGGTACCAGCGCTCTGACCACCATTTTTCTTTTTTTCATTGCGTAATAAGACCCCTGAAGAACCACCATACTGGTACAAATGACCCACTATTTTGAGTCACTATCTCCCGGCCTGTTAGGGGTTCGGCAGAAGGGAATGTCATTTTTTTTTCGATTTACTGAGGATTTCGACTTAACGAGGTCCGAGTTATCGAGATTCCACATAAATTTAAATTAGTCAGAGTCTCACAATTAATAAAAAAAGTTACTATAAGTACTACAGTCAACAGGAACAAAGAATATTAATATAACATTATGATGCCACTTACTGCTCATTGTCATCATCGGCAGCATCATCCTGAAGAGACCAGTCGGGTTCATCGTCCAGCTCACACATCATCTCGAGTACCAGAGGGGTGAGCACCTTGACCGCATTGGGCACCACTTTCCGCACCATGGCCGGGGCAGTCTCACACAACGTCACCAAAGCTTCGAGAGCTAGTTGCCTCCAGTTGTCATCATTGTTTTGGTCACTTAACAGCTATTTCACACAAACATACTAAGCATTAAGGTTTTTTCACCAACTTCATAAAAAAAATTCTTTTATATTAGAAATGCCAAAGGTAATACATATCTGTGGCCATAGGTCAGAATATGATAAATGCAATTTCATTACTTTACAGGACAAGCAATTAAATTAAGAAATCTTGAAGGCACTATTGAGATATGATACACTCGATATATGAAAAATAATTTTTTTTTAAATTGTACTTATCATTGTCTGATCTACAACCACAGATATATTATAGGAGCTAAAGAATTACAAATACTTTGCTGCAACTATGAGAATATACTAAATTGTAATGATGGTCAAAATGTAACATAAATCATTCAACTTTAAATATAAGTGGAAATTGTAATGATTGATAGTTCCAACATAAATAACAAACCTTGATGCAGACTTGGAAAATAGCCTCAACCTGCGGCCTTAGGAACTTAGGTGTAGTTTCCGCCAGTTCTATCAGAACTTTGAGAGCAGCATCATCGTCAGCTTTTTCTATAGATTGCACTACAATCTGTTAAACACAAATTGCCATGGTCATAAATTCATTTTTAAAAAAACATGTATAATTTAGAGTCAGTACGAACATGAAATCTTTATAAAAATAAATGTCTCGAGGGCTACTATCAAACTCCATCCTAATGTTAGGTTGGTGTTAGCGAAATCCTCTATTTAATATTGCACACATTGTCAGTAATACATTTAATAAAGAAATGTACACGTAGGAATTGTGTGTGCAAAAAAATGGCAAAAATAATAAGTTAAACCTGCATAAATGGCAGCAGTAGATCAGCCAAGTATTTCTGAATGGTGGGTTCCTTGTCATGAAGCAAGATGAAGGCACCCACTGCCTTCACGGCCTGCATACGCAGTGCTTCAGATTCTGACGGTTGCAGTGCTGAGAGGAGCATCCTCTTGATGAAATCAAGGTTTTCTGTCTGTTGATTGCCAAAAACTCCAGGCACAGATCTAAACCAGATATAAGTCTTTAATATCATTCATAAGGTTTTAATTTCAGTTCAGTATCAATTGAATAGGAATTTATTTTTTTTATTCAATTAACTATAATCTCGTCATGTCATGTGTTAATATCAGCTTTTACTAACGTAAACATTCTGATGCCAGCCTCCTTGATGTTAGAATCCTGTGCATTGGCACAGTTAAACATAAACTGAAGGAACTCTGGCCACTGGTTGACACCATCATCATCGAGATGGTTCCTGGCTAATTCTGATACTACATCACAAATCTGCAAAAAATATGCAAGGTGTTAAATTTTTTACCTCGGGTCTTTATTGTCCTATTGTTAGTAAACAAATATATTTTAACTATCTATATTTATAAATATGATCAAATCAAAGAGATTTTTATGCATCAATACTTGGTTATGGATAGTCCTGTTACTAATCAATCTAATCATAGTACAGAACTTGGCTTATTAACATCATAGTATGAGTCACACCTTTAGACTTCAATTATGTAGTGACTAAATTATTTCAAATTAGGCATGCCACAAAGAAGAAAGAAGAAATAAGCTTAAACAAAACATTATATTATTATGTATACTTTGACTTGTATATATCAAATATAGTCTAATGCTATTAGCAGATCTATTATAATAAATAAACACATTCTAAAAATATATATAAAATACACACCTTGCGTCTCAACTGCTGACTAACATCCATTTGTAGAGTGAGCAACAACTGTTCCCTAAGCATAGCTTGTTGTTCAAAGGGCAATTTGGGGAAGAACTCAAAGAACTCTGCACTAAGTAATCTTCGCAGCAATACAGCTGCTGTTTGTCGGGCTTCTTCTGCAAGGTCTGCATTTTGGATGGCACCCACTAAGAATACTACCTTCGTTTCTGTTGATATATTATTGTAGGCTTCCTGAGACACAAAAAAAATATAAGATTTAGTTATAGGAATCGGTACATTTCATTGCAATAAAATCATTAATGTAATTTCCGTTATTTAAATTCGGCGCAACATCATTAAAACCTAAAATAGCACATGTTCATTACCACAATCCTAAAATAGTAATTGTAACTAAATTTGAGATTTTATACAGTATATACTTTAGAAATAGTTATTACATGTTCGTGTTCACATTATTTAGCGTAAAACGTGTTTAAATTTTATAAAAAAAAAATAAACCGGAGATCCTCCATGACCACGTTTTGACACGAGGCAAGCTTTTAAAATAATACTCTTTACATAACGGAATTTTAAACAAAATAATATATAATTTACATTTTAATAAGTACTTACTTCTGCTTGTGTTCGTACGTCATTATCTGGTGATAATAATGTAATTAGTAAATTATAAAACTGCGCCTGATCGCCTGCCATGTTGAACCACTTTGAAAAAGACCAGTTTTTTTTTTAATTTTAGCCAGCCGTCACTATACGTGAAGCTTATATTGTGCCAGTCTTATCGGCTTAGGAAAACCGGTAACCGGTTTTCAAATTTCTTAGTTCTCAAATTAGGGATTCAGTACTTTTATGTCTAAAGAACTCTGAACCTGATTAAATACTTGTTTCATAAAACTGAAATTGAAAACTTGAAACTATAATATCGTTGCCGGCGTCGATTTTCTATCCATATAAATATAAATAAAAAATTGGTATGTATTTAGATAGAAGACGATATTGAAGGCTTAATTTTACTATTTGAATTTTTTTCACTTCAGTTACTACTACACTCCGACACTTTTGAATATTGTGTTTTTTAAAACGTCCACAGATTAGGAACCGGCAAAAGCGTAAAATTAATCATCAATGACAGTCTATCACTATTCAGTATTTACCTAACGTTAAACGTGAAATGTCCAGCTAACTGATAACCTCAAAAGATTTTTTTTAAACAATAAATAGGAAAAGCCTATTGATTTGCGTGCAAGGAAGCAGCGATGAATTCACAATAAACCAAATTATTTGGAACAACTTTATTAACGATTTAAAAATATTGGTTTGAACATGAAAATTAACTAAAGTCTTGAATTGAATATTTACAAACAATGGTAGGTAGGGATGTTGTGCAATATGAGTTTTTTTCTAAAATTTACAATTATATTTATACATTTTCTAAAATCCTCGTTATAGGCTGGTTCAGTGATTTTGGCAGGACTTGGAATGGCTGCAGTAGGTTTTGCTGGGCGATATCTACTTAAGCAAATGCCAAATGCTTCAATGAAATTTGCTGAAGCTGTAAAGAATCTACCTAAATTTGATGCTGAAAGCTTAGCAAATTCGAAATACTACAAAGGAGGTTTTGATCCCAAGATGACAAAAAGAGAAGCTGCGCTTATCTTAGGTGTTAGTCCAACAGCAAGCAAATCTAAGGTGAAGGGAACATATTTAATTACCATAGGATTTAAATGAAAATGTTATAAGTGCTGGCAAAACAGTATTTTATACTTAAACTAAAATGCTTTCTAAAACTATATTAAGATTGTATCACATTTTTTTTATTTAATGAACACCTGAACATTTTTATTAATATGATTAGGGGCTTTTGAAAATACCATGAACATATGCAACCACACAAAACTTAAAATAATTTTATTACACTTGACTTTAATTCAGAATTTTTACTTTTACAGATACGAGAAGCTCATAGACGTATCATGTTACTAAATCACCCAGATAAAGGAGGGTCACCATTAATAGCGGCTAAAATAAATGAAGCTAAAGACCTCTTAGAAAGCGGAAAATCATGAGTCCCATGTGTAATGTTTCAATGTATAATAGTAGTTTAAATTATATCTGTTTGTTTTAATAAAAGATTAAATAATTAATATGATAAGTTTTTGATCAACATTTGGAAGGAGTAGATGCACAAAGTAGTAATATTCTCTCTTAATGCTGGGAGAAATAAAATAAATGTTTAAATATCTAAAACATTAATATATTTTTGAAATATATCTGTACATATAGAAATTTTATAACCTTAGTTGACATTTATCTATCATTGACATGAATAAATCGTGACACAAGAGAAAAAAGCACATCAAGTACACAGTTATAATAATATAATTTATATTGAACTGATTGTCTATTGTGGAACAAATGAGCAAGTTGAGTTTATTAATTTTTTTTAGTGACGGAATTATACCTTATTACATAATTCTTGTAAGATAAAGCTTTTCTTTGATTAACCAGTGTTATACACTATACAAAGCTTTAAGAAAACATTGCTCAAATCATTATAACAATATATAAAAGCAGCCATATGGCTTGATTTATTAAATATATATGTATATTTAGATGAATAAAACAGGAACCTTCACCAAAAAGTAAAAATCAGAATTATATGAAATGTTTCAATAAATGTGGTTAAAAATAATTTCTCCAACAATATTAATTAAGTTTTTTTTTCACTTTTATAATAAAATCAACAAAAATGCTTATGCAAACCATCTATGCTATGATTATTTATTGTTTAAAAATAACTGTCTCACTCAAATATAATTAAAATAAGTTATTAATCCTAACATAAGACTAAATAACTTTCAAAATCAATATGTACCATCAAATACAGTATATAATAAAAAATAAGTTTAAAGCATACCCAAAAAGGTAATAAATTATAGAAATCTTTCTTATTCAAGTATCTACATTGAGAGAAATATTACAAAGTTTAGTGTCATGTTAAGTCTTATTTCACAACAGAAGCTTAGAATCCCAATTAAAATGAAATTCATTAATGCCATGCTGTGATGACCAATTTTTACAAAAGATTAAATAGAACATCATTTGGTACGTTTAGAGATCAAGTTTATTAAACTTTGTTCATCGTGGTGGCTCCTTCTGCTGTTGTTCTCTGCGCTGCTTCGCGAAGCGGTCACGTAATTTGACAATAGTGGCGTTTGAAAGTGTTCCAGGTACTTTGAATATTGACTGAAAAGAAAAAAAAATCTTAAATGTTGATTTTGTGGAGCTTATAGATTACTACTTTTCATGTTCTGTATTTTTCAAAATGCTAACATGGACAATGCCTCGATCAATTTAAGCATTTAACCAACTTCAAAACTACATAGTAAAAATAGTATGATTTACTAAATATTAGATAGAAAAGCGATCACTTTCAGGAAATTGGAGAGAAGGAAAGGTAAGACCAAAATATTATAAAGAATATCTAAATTAGATAACCAATGATTACCTGCATAAACTCATGACAGTGTAAAGCACTTGCATTTTTAACAATGGCTTTAAAACACTCAGCTAAAGTAGTGAAGTCATTGCATGCCATAATAGCCTCTTTATTTGTTTTGATCAATGTAATGCAAACTCTGAACAAAATCTTTGAGCCCTCGTAAAACAGACAATCCCAAATCCTGAGGACTGTCTCTATTGGTAACACTTCAGCAAAGAGACAGACAAACCACTTCGTAGTGATAACTGCCCAAGGTAAACCTGAAAATAGACAATCATACATTAAGATGGAACAGGCTGTTTTTATTGTGCGTGTATACTTAATGTATTCAAGTGAGATTTTTGGAACCACTCAGCAAAATTGTATTTTAGTAAATTTTCATAAAAACCTACTAAACCTTCTTAAGGGATCACAAAATGTATAATTTTAAATTATATTATGGATAATGCAGAAATCTCTTGCTTTTAAGAATGATTTTAATATTTAATAAAATGTTAAATCAGGTTTACATATTAATTAAATTACAACTATTTATTATCAACTTTGGAAATTAATCAATACACATAGATAAAACCATAAGAGATAACAAAATAAGATTTCTTCACGCATAAGATAAAGTAACAGCTCAACAGACACAGGATTATAATATGATATACAAGTTACATGTCAATCAATACCTAAGTTGATCACATGTTGGTGTACATCAGGTGCCTTCGACTTTACCAATTCAGATAATACTTCAATGTCAACAATAAGGCCATCCATAGTTCTTGTGTAGTAATCAGGAAGTATTTTTTCCACTAATACTTTGAGCAGCCAGAATGAAGTTTCTTCACTTTTTGTAGACAGCAATAATAGACCTAAAAATGTTGAGTTGAGTTTTTTTTCATTGAAGCATAGAAAAGGTCCTTTCTAATAAATTTAATATTGCAGATAATTTCTACTGATATAATTAAGTACCAGTTCCACTAATTTATGATTAAACAATCATTAATTAATTAAATATGAGAATTTACTAATTAATTATTTTTGATCCTTGATTTACTCGCTGGTTGTGCAAGTATGATTCATATTAATTATCAACTTATGTAATATGTTTAATCACATTCTATGAAGAGATAAGAAGATTTATATTCTTATAGAATAATATTTAATTTAAATAATTAGCAACATACCAGCAATATAGTTTAATCCTTGGCAATATCCAACAACTTTATTATTATGGGCATAAGCAATAAGCACATTAAATAAATGAGTTTGGTGGTTTGCTTCCTTAGTGAAATAAATATTATCTGGAAATGTCCGAGGCAAATCTGTCTTCACAAGATCAACTAATTCCTTCTCAAAAGGGCCGTCTAAGATTTTATGATACAGGTCAGGAGCTAGATCTCGCATTTTGTCAGCTTCTGAGATTGCCATCCATACTGATGGGCGGTGTTCACCTGATGGTAGTTAGTATAGTTAATTATAACGTACTTTATGAACATTGGCAAAGCAATGCAGAACGTTGAGATTCATTAGATCAGGAAACTAACACTAATTTAATCAAATATTAAAATAATTGTATAAATGATAATTAGAAATTTAGACTTACTTGGTATTCCTTTCCGTACGTATCTTTTAATAGTGTTCGTGCGTTTGACCGACTTTCCTTCACCAAGCATCGTAGACCATTTATGCGCTCTCGAGGCCAATACCTTGAGATATACAGACATGAAGTCTTCATAGCTCGCATAGTCAAAATCTTCGTGTCTTTCAAACCCATACTCATCAACGGCACTACAATATTTAAATTAGAAATTAACTTCTTGTCTTTAAAGATAACTTTTGTAAAAACTTAAATCTACATACCTGAAATTTGATTGAGCCATAGTTTTGAATGTGATTAATACAAATTAAGCACATACAACTTGCATATTCTCTTCTTCACATACTTAAAAAATATTTCAAATTTTATTTCTGTCTGATATTAATTTATCACTTTTAATATTAACACTTTCAAAATTATGTATAAATATTAAAATGCGAAATTAAAAATAGTTTCGCCTCCCAAGTCCCAATCGTCGCTCAATATTACACACAGACTACAGCTATATTAATGACTTCAGAGTTCAGAGTTCAGACTACTGACTAATCCAAGCAGACAATAGACATTACATAAACACAGAAATCCTCTCCAAACTGATTTGACGGTAGTAATGTGCACAATGCTTCGATTGTATACAATGACATTGACATTTATACTTAAAATACATTCTTTATATTTTGTTGACACTTAAGTTTATTATTTAAATATTTTATACTTTCTAGTTTCTAGAAACACAAAATCAAATAAATCTACAGTAATATTACATCAATTACAGCGAGGGACAGATTAAACTCAGGTCTACTCATTTGGTTAATTTCACAAAATATGAACATAAGTAATTTTTTTTTGTACTAGCTATATTTACTTTTTTTATAATATTTTTCTAGTTGACAATGGGTCCGCCACCCGTAGTTACCGGTATATCACCAAAAGAAGGGCCACCTGGTACAAGGGTTACAATCAGAGGCGAATTCTTGGGGACTGGTGCAACAGATCTCATAGGTAAAATTTTTTTTTCACAGCAAATTTCTATTCCAAATCTTGCTAGATGTCTAGTTTCAACAGATATGAAACTATTTTTTTGAAGAATTAAATATTTTTGATATTATTCAAGAACAGATTGGGGTGTTGAATTATTATCATAATGCCCTATAGCATTTGTGACAATGTAATCAAAAATTATTCAAACTTTTATATATGAGTAGGAAATAAAATGATACTATAGAAACAAGTAAACATATGTTTTAACCATTTTATTTTAAAATCTCAAGGTTTATTAATCGAGAATTGTGGTTTAAAGGACTTAAAATATGTGGGTGTGACTGCTTGCTCTCTGCTGAATGGAAGAGTAGAAATAAAATTGTTGCTAGATCTGGCCCTTGTAAAGGTCGTGGGGACATAATTGTTACTACACGGTCGGGTGGAGAGGGCACATCTACTGTGCAATTTAGAGGTATGTAGTCTTGCATCAATTACCGTTTAACTATTTTTAGGGAAAACATGGTTTTATTTATATTCTGCTGTATATTAAATTGATTTTAAAGATTAAAAAAAAAACCTTTTTAGGATACCACGAGTCCATTGGCCCAGTAAAAGAAAGCGCAGTATGGGTGGAGGAAACAGCCCCTCCAGCATTGCCATGGGGCAGACGACCCATGTCCCCCACTGCTTATACTCCCCCAGATCCCCTTGGGTTATCTACAGAAGGGGATGATTATAAATTTCCCGAAGAAGAACTTAATGAATTGTTTCCTGATGGGTAAGAAATTTTTATATGGGTTTGGACTTGTAATTGTTTCTTTGACCAATTGCTCATTTTAATTTTATAGATAAGTAGGTTATCAGCCGCTTGTGTCTGGCACATGTTGATTTTTAGATCTAATAAATGGTTCTATCCTAACACACACTAAAGGTACACTTTCTATTTTACATAAGCTAATATTACTTGCACAACTTCTCTAGAGAGATAGAACTAGATAAGAAGAACCTCAGTTTCTTTGATCTCTTATCTAGTAATCGTTTTTGTTAATAATAATTGTATAGATCAGGTAAGCTGACTGACGAGAACTTCCAACCAGGCTGGTATCTGTTGGAGCACCACAGCAACACATCATTTGAAGATTTAAAGGCGGGACTTGTGTTTCTACAGAGGAAGGTAAGCTATAACAATGAAAAATCCGTAAAATTATTAATTTAAAATATCCAAAGAAAAATATTTTTCTCTATACTGAGAAGGTCGGGATCAGATTTTTTCAAACATAATATTGAATAAAGCTTAAAAGTCTCCTTATTATAGTTAAAGTGGGTGGGTGTTAATCTATGAGCAATAGATAAAAATATGTAATTGAAGAATAGGCCTTTGTTTTTTACTATTATCAAAAAACACTACCTACATGATCACTTTAAAAATACGACAAGGTCTTTGAGAAAAAGGGAATATCAGAATCACCTGGGAATAATGTTTCCTATTATTAAAGTAGACACAAAATATATCTTTCCTTTTAATAAGAATATCTCGTAGGTAGAAGGCCAGAAGGAGGGCCAGTTGAGTTTCCTAAAAGCCAACACGGGGGCAGTGATGGACCAACTGGACCGACTTGTTCTACTCAAAAACATGTATGAGGATGATGAGAGGAAGAATGGCAGGGAACCTCTGCCGAGTCTACAAGCCGCTATTGAGGGTATAAATCACCATATCTGCATAGGAAGCTTTCAAGTATTACGTAACAAATTTGGGGGGGGGGATACTTTTGTTAAACGTTACGATGCGGGGCAGGGATTTGAATTACGCGTTACTGTTATTATTATTTTCGGCTTTCCAGTACTTTACACCACACAAGGGTAACTTTTAGATATAAACACTGGTGTGTAGTCACTGGGTGATCACGAAACGTTTTACTATTGGGTACAGAAAAACGTATATAATCTCCAAAAATTGCGTGACGTAATACTTGAACGCTCCCATATGACCTTCCTTCAAATTATGTGTCGTTTCTTTTATCTTTACCTAATTTTTGGAAAATAACATTAAAATGATCATAATCCTTTTATATTTTTTCCTGTCCACTATCTAGAATGTTTAACTTGATTGCCTTATCATTTAATATTGTGTTTAAGCAATTAATTGGAAATACATTCCTATCTTTTTTTTTTTTTTTCTCTGCGGTTATTTGCAATCAGCCCCAAGGCTATGAGCGAATTTTTTCTGTGGTGCTGTCATGTGGAGTGACTTCCCATTGGAAGCATCTACTCATCTTCTGTCTAGAGCTACTGCCGGTCTTCTAGCTCTAGAATATGGTGACGTTTTAGTCGACTCACATACTGTCTAATGGTGAGTTGGCGAGCAAGTTCATTCGGGTGACAGCTTAACCGCTCTTTGTATTTAGCTGCCAGTCTCCGGATTTCCTCTTTGATAGTTCTCATTTTAAGGTGTTCGTGAACTTCGTTGTTGGTTATGTACCATGGTACTTTTGCAACTGCTCTTAGGATCTTGTTCTGTTGTCGCTGGAGTATATTTATGTTGGTATCACTTGCGCTGCCCCACAGTTGGAGGCCATATGTCCAAATGGGCTTTAGGATGACTTTATATATAAGAAGTTTGTTATCTAGAGAAAGTCTTGAGTTTCTTCCTAGCATCCAGTAAAGGCTGTTGTACTTTAGCTGTAGCTCCTGCTTTTTACATTTGATGTGGTGCCTCCACGTTAATCCACGATCAATGTGTAAGCCAAGATATCTTACATGATCGCTGTGGGGCAGAATACATTGGTCCAACTTTAAAGGTGGGCAGTCTCCTCTCCTAAGGCTGAAGGTCACGTGTACTGACTTCGCGGCACTAGCTTTTATTTTCCATTTTTGCAGCCATTCGTTAACTTTGTCAAGGCCCTTCTGCAAGTCCTCTGATGCAAGTCCTGGGTCTTTATTGCTTGCTAATATAGCGGTGTCATCTGCAAATGTTGCTGTGGTTATTCCTGGCAATAGCGGTAGGTCAGCAGTGTACAACGTGTAGAGCATGGGGCCGAGAACAGATCCTTGTGGTACCCCGGCATCAATGTTTTGAAATTCCGAAGTGGCTTCACCTTCTTTTACATAAAATATGCGATCCTCTAGGTAAGATTTGAATATTAGAAAGTAAGAGTGGGAAATATTCTGCTTGATCTTACATAGTAGGCCTTTGTGCCAGACCTTGTCAAATGCTTGTTGGATATCCAGAAACGCTGATGAGCAGTATTCCCTTTGTTCTAAGGACTTTCTTATGGCGTCACATACTCTGTGAGCTTGTTTCACTGTGCCATGGTATTGTCTGAAGCCGAATTGATGATCTGGTATTACTTTGCGCTCCACAAGGCTTGGCACAATTCTACGAAGTATTGTCTTTTCCAATACCTTCGAAAGAGTAGGCAGCAGACTGATTGGTCGGTAGGATGTTTTTTCGGTCATCAGTTTGCCAGCCTTATAAATCATGATGATTTCTGAAATTTTCCACGCAACTGGGAAGTAGCCTATTCGTAACATAGCATTGAAGAGTATAGTGATGAAGATCATAGCCTTTCTCGGTAGTTCCATCAATACTTCTTTTGTTATCAGGTCGTAACCTGGTGCCTTTTTACTGTCCAGGCATTTGATAGTTTTTATGACTTCTGCAGGCGACACAGGTCTAGGGGGAAGATCCATTTGAAGGTCTTGACTTAGAACTTGGTCAACATATTCTTCTGATGAGTTGTCTAGTGTTACATTAGGTTTAAAGGAGCTTGTTAGGTAGTTCGCAAACAAGTCCGCTTTGTCCTGACTCGTTCTGGCCCAGCCGTTATCCTTTTAATTGGGGCTTTTGATTTGTTAGGTTGGCTACAAGAACGGGTGATTTTCCAGAGCGAATAGTTGCTGGCCTTAGTAGCGGTTAGAGACTCCAACTTTGCTTGCATTGTTAAATCATTAACATTCTTTATAGCTTCCTTCAATTCTACAATGGCTTTATTAAGGGCGGTCTTGTCTTGTGGATGACGACTCAGTTGCCAAACTCTTCGCAATCTGCGTTTCTCCTGAATCATCATCTTTATTTCCAATGGTATGTTTGTGTGCTGGTTTCTGTGTTCAGTAGTAGGCGTGCTTCTCCACGCAGCAGCTTGAATGAGATTAGTAAACTGCACTACTGCTGTTTCAATTTCCTCTGCTTCTTTAAGTCTGACATTTAGATTAAGGTTTTCATCTATGTGTTCCCTGAAGGAAAGCCAATCAGTTTGCTGGTTATATAATCTTATCGGCCTCTCGACTTCAATTATAGTGGAGCTGACAGTTAATAAGACTGGAGTGTGATCAGATGACCCATCAGCACATGATTCGATCTTCATGTATTGTTGAGAGAGTCCTTTTGTTAGGAAGAAATCTAGTATGTCCGGGATTCGATTGTGATCAGCTGGCCAGTTGGTAGGTTCTGATGGAGCAATTATGTTTAGGTGATTTGTATCGATGCTCAACATCAATTGTCTTCCCCTAGTTGTTATTAATCTTGAGCCCCAATGCACATGTTTGGAGTTCCAGTCGCCTCCTGTTATGAAGCGATTGCCTAGAGTCGCGAAGAAATGAGAGAACAGGTCGGCGTCTATTCGATGTTTTGGTGGACAGTAAACAGCTGAGACATTAAAGTATCCACCTCTGTCCTGTATTGCGACTGTAGTGGCCTGTATTTGCTCGGTTCTATATTCAGGCAGTAGATGGTGCTTTATTTTGTTTCTAATAACTATAGCTGATCCTGCATGACCTGTACCATCTGGGTGGTTCGTTGTGTATGTCTGGAACCCTTCAACTTTGACATTGGTTTTGTCTGTGCAGTGTGCTTCCGATATTAGGACTATGTCTAGCTTGTGTTCAGTTATTAGTATCTCGAGTTCATTTTTATTGGGTGAGAGACCATTTATGTTCCAGGTCGCCAGTCTTAACCCAAGGCCGGTTAGCCTTGTAGTTTGGTTATGAGCGTAGTCATGAGACTCATTAGAGTACTCATTTGTTGTAATATTAAGTCGAATTTCTCATTTTGTTTGGTGAGGAGAGTTTCTAATAATGTAGGGTTTTGGTTAGCATCAGGTGAAGCATTTTCTTTGTCTGGAACATTTCTAGCAGCTCCTACGTAAGAGAGTGGTTCGTTTTCCTTACCAATGAAGGAAGATTGTTGGGCAGTGTTTCTTGGATCGTTTAGGGCTTGAATCGTGTTATCTTTTGCGGTAATGCGTCTGTCAATTCTTCGATGGGCATATTTGTTAGTTTTTCTAGCAAGAATTTCTCTGTATACTTCACAACCCTTATAGTTTGCTGGGTGTGAGCCATTACATAGTGCACATTGGGCGGGTGTATTTCTATCCCGCTTTGGACAGTCTGAGGTTTTATGTGCTTGCGCACACTTCACGCAGCGGAAAGGTCTCATGCAGTAGTTCTTTGTGTGTCCATATTGCTGACACCGTTGGCACTGCACTATTGAGTTTTTCTTTTTGGGATCTTCTATGGTTACAGATTGATGGTAGATGTATTTAATTTCTTTAGCTGCCTTATTGTTGTGGCTAGGTAGGAGATTAACAAAAAATGTTGAGGTAGGTTTTTTTTCTGGGCCATATCTGGAATTAATAATTTCCCCGACCACAGTATTTCCAGTTTTTTCAATTTCTTCCTTTATCTCGCTTATAGGTGTTGTGTGGTGAAGATTCCGAATGACAATACGACAGGGTCGTTCTTCCTTTTTGTTAAATGTGTGACCAATTAAGCCACTTACACGGAATTTAGTGATGATTTTTTTGTAGGCCTCTGTATCTAGGGTGTTGATTCTTAGTTGGTTTCTGTTCATTATCCGAAATGTAAATGAGCTTTTGTCTGTAACTGTTTCCACGAGTTCCGTTAATTTATTGACATCTTCTATGCCATATAATATTATGGGTGGAGGCTTGCTGGGTTTTTTTTCCACTGGTTTTTTGGTTGTAGTGGGTTCTTCCATTTGGTCAATTGTTAGTTGACTGAACATATTGCTGGTGGTTATATTCTCTGGAGAGTCACTGACTTTTTTTCGTTTTGGGTTTCTCGTGCTTGGTACTCTTTGCCAAGACGGGGGACATGGAGTGCCTTGCTGGCTTGGTGCATTTTGTGTGGTCGTGTGTCTCGGTAGTTCTGTCACGGTTTGTGAGTTTTCTGGAGGGTTACTTCCTAAGGAATTGCTTCTAGGCCTGGTGACGAACAAGCTGCGGTGAATGTCCTGCTGGGTTAGCTTTTTCCTTGGGCCACTCATTTCACGATTTATAAGATCACTGTTGTGTTAAATAATTTACCATATAATGTCCCCTATCTTTGTGGTATGACTCCCAGATAAAGCACATTTTTCCTATCTAATCTGCAATAGTAGTTAATGAAATGCTTGAATAGAAATCTATCTCAATTAATTATTATTAAAAAGTAAGATTTTTAGTTTAGAAAATCCATTACGCAAAATCACCTGCATCATGAGCATACCCCACACCTTCACGTACATACCCTCACTTTTAGACCATCACACAGCACAGCCAAATTAGGTATTAGGTATTACTTTGTTAAATGTATTGAATAAATTTTATTGTTTTTTTCCCTTTTATCATTTACAAAAATTTTAAACCTTTTTGTAAATATTATATATTACATCTTTGGCTATATTTTAAGTATAATTGTTTGTTAGCTGTAAGAAATAAATAAGTAAATAAAAGGGTCTCTTATAGAAACAGTGAAAACTCTTTGCTTTTCGTTCTTGATTTGACTTCAGATAAATTGTAATAGCCAAAAAATATTAATGTTTGCTGTTTTTATAATCTGCGCAGGTATCTTACAATAGCGATAGCGATCCCGACTTTAAATCGCTATGGTTTTTATATTTTGTTATAACTATCTAACTAGTTGGTTATAACTAGTTAAATATTGCACTTAGATTTAATTATAATTTGAATCTTGGTTTCAGAATCAATATCGCTGGCTGACTCCCTTTTCTCCGAAATATTATCTCGCAAAGAGAATGCGGACAAGACGAGGGAAGCCCTCTCAATGCTGACGAGACATAAATTTCTTTTCCAATTGCCCGCGTCGATCGATAAGAATATAAAGAAGAAGGAATACGACCTCGTAGTCAACGACTACACCAGAGTCAAGAATCTCTTTGGAAATACTGACGTCAAGGTATATTTATTTCTTGTCTTTTATAATCTGTGCTTATATTTTTAACAGACTTCAAAAGAACCGTCGGAGGAGGTAATATTAATAAACTCAAATTCAAAATAACTTCATTCATATAATAGGTAACCAAGTACACTTATGAACATCAACAGAAAACAAGTTAAATTTATTATAAATTTATATTTACTACCAGTTCGCATGTCAAGGGCGTAGAGCGGAAAAGAACTGGCAAAAAACGCTTTTTAATCGCTAAGTTTTGAGTCATACAAATTGTTTGAAATGGAGCAAATCAGTCCCATGGTTTAGGATTTAAATAATCGTCAAATTAATAAAAAGCTTTATTGATCAGTTTGCGTTTAATGAGAGTTTTGTTTAATAATACATAACGCTTTTCTTTTACTGGCCATCTTGACAGTTTCAAAGTTTGTTTACAACTGATAATACACGATAGGTGACGGTGGTGCGTTTAGTAACTGAGACCAAAATTTCCTACAGGCAATGTAATCTAAGAAGAATGGCACACGTGTTAATGCAATTAACAATAACAAAGGCGAGACGGCTGTTTATGACCTCAGGTGTCTTTCTTAGAAATTTAGGCACCTCATAAGTTTAGTTTTGTAATTATAAAAACAATTACACTTAAGTATGTTGTTGATGTCTAAATATGAAAATATTTCTTCGTTATAGAGAATAGCTGTTGCGTTATAAAGTGCGAATTAATGTTTGGGTTTTGTGTCATACCAAAAAGGTTACGACTAATTTTTACGTTATGAGAGTTTGTTGTTATAAAGAAACTATATTGTATCTTTATATTAATAATAACAAACAACGCTCATCTTTATCTAATCATCAGCACGCAGGAGTTTGACTCCTTTCCCAGGTGTCGTGCTGCACGATCTACATAGCCGTGTCTTGTAACTGCAAAGGAGTAGAACTCCTTGCCTCCTTCCATCTTCCTTAGACGGTTTAATATGGATTCATTTAAGCGGCGGTTGGCATCACCTGGCCAGGCCCTTCAATAGGCCGCTTCTCACTTAACATCAGGTGGGATTGTGGCCAACGTTGTCTGATTGTCTGAATGTTACTGCTTTTAGCTGTAAGACCCATATCTTAGGGAGAGTTCAAGTATAACGTCACGCAATATTTGGAGGTTATTGACACCCACCCTTTCTGTACCCAAGTATAGTAAAACGTTTAGTGACCACCTAGTGACTTTATACCTAAAAGTTACCATTATGTGGTGTAAACTGTAAAGTCGAAAATAATATTAAAAATAACGCGTTATTCATTCCCCGCCCCGCATCGTAACGTTTTACAAAAGGACCCCCCCCAAATTCGTTACGTAATACTTGAATGCTCCCTTATGTCTACGTTTATTTTTTAGTGACAGTTGCACCACTTTAGGGATGTTACTTTGATGGATGGTTGATTGGTTCAGAATTATTTGGTTGTGTTAAAATAAAACTCCCTAATTGTTTGCAGAGAAGATAATATTGTTCTTTTCAGAACAATATTATCGTGATCGTATCTTACGAAAACGTTTATAAACTGTACTTTTCAGAACATATTACCGTGTCTTACGACAACGATGACAACTGTTCTTTTCAGAACATATTGTTTCATGACGAAAACGTTCAACAACTGTCCTTTTCAGGACATATTACCGTGTCTTACGACAACGATGACAACTGTTCTTTTCAGAACATATTGTTTCATGACGAAAACGTTCAACAACTGTCCTTTTCAGGACATATTACCGTGTCTTACGACAACGATGACAACTGTTCTTTTCAGAACATATTGTTTCTTGACGAAAACGTTCAACAACTGTCCTTTTCAGGACATATTACCGTGTCTTACGACAACGATGACAACTGTTCTTTTCAGAACATATTGTTTCTTGACGAAAACGTTTAACAACTGTCCTTTTCAGGACATATTACCGTGTCTTACGACAACGATGACAACTGTTCTTTTCAGAACATATTGTTTCATGACGAAAACGTTCAACAACTGTCCTTTTCAGGACATATTACCGTGTCTTACGACAACGATGACAACTGTTCTTTTCAGAACATATTGTTTCTTGACGAAAACGTTTAACAACTGTCCTTTTCAGGACATATTACCGTGTCTTACGACAACGATGACAACTGTTCTTTTCAGAACATATTGTTTCATGACGAAAACGTTCAACAACTGTCCTTTTCAGGACATATTACCGTGTCTTACGACAACGATGACAACTGTTCTTTTCAGAACATATTGTTTCTTGACGAAAACGTTCAACAACTGTCCTTTTCAGGACATATTACCGTGTCTTACGACAACGATGACAACTGTTCTTTTCAGAACATATTGTTTCATGACGAAAACGTTCAACAACTGTCCTTTTCAGGACATATTACCGTGTCTTACGACAACGATGACAACTGTTCTTTTCAGAACATATTGTTTCTTGACGAAAACGTTTAACAACTGTCCTTTTCAGGACATATTAGCGTGTCTTACGACAACGATGACAACTGTTCTTTTTAGAACACACGACCGTTTTTTTAACTCTTGATCTGTTTTTGTCAGAACACATCACTGTTTCATTACGACACGAAAACTAATCACCTACAATTTCATTCCTGTGTCGTAAGTAAAACCTTGTATTTAATAATTGACCTAATTTCAGCTATTTCAAAAAATATTGGACGAAATCGACAAGAAGATAGAGGATTTGAAGGAGAACCTTTATATGAGGATGAAAACGATGCCCTGCAACGTTCAGGAGCAGACCAAATACATCAGGTATACTGTTCAGTTTTGCCTTTTTACTTCGGAAGAAGAATTTCTGTTATTTTTACTCAAAACAAAATCATTTATTCATATAGGTAACAACACAATGTACACGTAAAAAAAGTTGTATATTAAATGCTCCTATTTTTACATTTACTGCCAGTTCTCAAATCAAAGGCGTAGAACGGAAGAGAAGAACTGGTAATAAACTCTCATCCAGTCTCTAAAAGTTTTTTTTTACACAACGTTTGTAAGGAGCCGCAACCATTACACCGTGTTCCACATGTCATATTAAGTAATAAATAATAATAAAACAAATTAAAAACAAAGATTTGTCCTCTATCAGCAGGAGGCATGGTGAAATAGGAGCACGCACTTACATTCTCGTGGCAAATAAATAGTCGAAACAACTAACATCACCGCATACACGAATTCAAGTCCGACCACAAGTAGCACCCGTTCACGAGTATGACGCATGGCCAGTCATCTCTCCACTCCATTTGTTTACCCGTAATCTTTCGTCTCTTTCAGTCAAATTGTATTAGCCTGTGATGAAAAGAGACAGTTAAAATGGTGCACTTACTAATTTTAATAGTAACTATTGTCGAAACTAAAGTATATTAAAAATAATATGAATAAACAGAATTTCCTCTTGAAGGCTCCTAATAAGCCTGAACTGGGAAGGTGACGCGGCTTGGGAAGCCGTGAGCAGCCGACATCAGTATCTCATGGCTCTCTTGAACAAGGTCAAGGACCATTTCAAGCTGAAGGAGGAGCAGGAGAACAGCGAAAAGGGTGATTTTTATGTTTTGTTATTATAATTTAATTTTTAAAATACAGTTCAATATTACTTTAATTATTTTTTAATTCTAGTAACATAATATACACTTATGAACGACAAAACAAAAATAATAAATTTAAATGAATATTTATTGGCAGTTTTAGACATAGACATAATATCATTTATTACAAACAAAAATACACACACAAACACACAAAATTACAATAATAAAAATGAATAATTAATGAGAATTATAAAAAAAATCCCTTTTCCCTTTCGGTTCGTTTCAAGTGTGTAATGCGTGTGTGCTGTGGGTGTCATTGCCCCTGGCTCAGTATTATGCTGAGGAGCGGATTTTGCCACAGCGCTGGTCAGAAAAGAAAAAGAACAGACGAGAAAAACTCCGCCATTTTTATTGACCAGTTTTTAGATTTTACACCCACATTTCCTATTACACCTTCCTCTAAATGATATAATATATTAATATGTAAAAAGAATTTTGTATAATCTAGAAAATTAATAATATTAAGAAGAATTCCAATTATTAAGGACGCTTTGAGCAGTAATCCGGTAAAGAAGTTAGTACATATGGTAATAATGGCCAGGTAAACGCAAATCGCGCGATGACAGCGGGGTCTCGTGGGGAGTCGGCCGCGGGTCGTGGTGCGCGTGCGCAAGCGCAGCTCTGTCTCGGGAGCTGCACGCCCTGTGGCCTCTGGCCAGGAGGTACTTCGCGGGGGAACTGGCCGGGAGACCCACGGACCCGCAGAGGCACGCCGAGTTGAAGGTACGCGTTGTGTCTACCTTCAATTAATTAATTTTATAAGTTTTTTTTTAAAGTTTCACTCTAAAAATCAATAACTCGTAATATGTTAAAATAAAGAAATAACGGTCAATTTAGCTTACTTCAAATTAAAAAAAAACTATTCAAAGTTAGAGTGTACTCCTCCCACAAAGGCCGGCAACTCACCAACTAAAAATGGGCTGCGATGACTGCCCCTTTTTGGCGTCCTGTATTGCCCCCCCATTATATAAAATAAACAGTAATAAGAGTAATTTGCAAATTAAATCTCTATATATATCAAATTCTCGTGTCACAATATTTGTTCCCATACTCCTCCGAAACGGCTCGACCGATTCTTATAAATTTTTTATGCATGTTCAGTTAGTCTGAGAATCGGCTACTATCTATATTTCAAACCCCTAAGTCATAAGGGGTGTCCAACCCCAAAATTTTAGTTTTAGAATTTTTATTTTATTATGATATAAAAAAAATACAACCCCTAACTTTCAATCCTCTACGATTAACCCCTATCTTTTATTATTGTAGATAGGTATTTTTATTGCACTAAAACAATGTTGCAAGCAGTCATTTTATGAAATGATAAACTTGTAGTTTATTGTTTATCAGAATGCCAAATCATAAAATGACTGCTTCACGACTGATTTGAGAGCGACCGCCGATGCGAAAACCGCTGTGTGAGTTCGAAAAGTGAGTTACAAAATCGCAGGGCCGGTCCAATAACTTTAAGATTTTTTTTTAAATTAACATTTGACAATTGACATAAATTTTCGTTTTCAAGTGACAGTCCTTTGTACAGGAGATGATAATAGCCGCAGTGGAGCTGTTCTCTGAGCACATGCGGTATTGCCTCATGGGCGGAAGCGGGGCCGCCGGCGCCTTACCGCCGGACACCTTGAGGACCAGACTTCTGGCCAACCTGGCGCACCTCAGAGAGGCGTACGAGTCACTCTTGAAGCTGGATTTGCCTTCACAGGTATTTTTGTTTCCCTGAGATGAATTCATCAGTCATTATGAACAGTTTCCGCTCAAAGTGCCCTTGCAGCCCCTGGCGATAGTGGAGAAGGTGATATTCGAGTACCGGGTGCACGGCATGTCGGTGTTCCTGCAGAGGGCTCTGCGGCGAGTGAAAGCCTTGAGCGGCCTCGAGACCTGGAAGGTGCAGGACTTCACCGACTACGGGGCCATCACTGGACTTGTGAGTTGTGGCATTTTTTTTTTAATGTTATAGGAGGCAAATGGGCAGGACGCTGACCTGATGTTGAATGATACCGCCGCCCATGGACACTCACATTGCCAGAAGGCTCGCAAGTACGTTGCTGGCCTTTCAAGAATGGGTACGCTCTTTTCTTGAAGGAAGTCGAATTGGTTCGGAATTACTTCACTGGGCAGCTGGTTCCACATAGTGGTGATGGCAAAAACTGCCTTGAAAACGCTCAGTTCTGGAACGGACGTCGAGGTGATACGGATGGTATTTCGTATTCTGCCTCGACTTCTCTTATTTATATGCAGGTCTATGTGCAGGGTAGAAGAAGGGGGAGTGTGTGTATGTCACTGACCTCCTCTTAAACGGCTGGACCGATTTGAATGAATTTTTTGTATGCGTTTGGGTGGCGCCCTAAGTCATTCGAAAGTGATAATGTACTGTGTTTTATGCACAGAGTAGAATGGTGACTATTCTCTTGACAGTTGTTATAATATTTTTCTGTGAGTTGGTAGTACAGTGCCACATACTTTTCTTGGCCGGTAAGAGCGTTGCTGTCATGGTTATTAGTATTGCCAGTGAATAAAAATTAAGCATTCTAAGGAGAATAATTTAAAGTCATGCATGCTAACTTAATGATTTGTTGAAATGTCTTAATAAAACAATGTATACTAGTAGAAAATACAATTCTAGGCTTAAATAAATTTGACACAAACTTCGGAACAACTGATATGATAGGTTTTGTTACGTGTACTATTAATATATTATCTTTTAAGTTCGATAATTGAAACTTTGCCAATGTAACAATTCAAGGAAGAAAAATAATTACGTTTTAGTTGGATTTTTATTAGATATTTGTAGATAGTTGAGCATTTGAGAGCTAACTGACAATGTCAGTCTGACATTTCAAAATGGCGACGGTAGTACCAATTTCAGCCGCCGGCCAAGAAAAGTATGTGGCACAGACTATAAATCGGTACGCATATGAAACAGATTATTGTAAAAATATGACACTAGATTACGTAAAGTTATCAAAATAAATAATTTAAAAGTATTAAGTTGTTTAGCTACAGTATTGATGAATACTTCAAAAAATATTTTTATTCAGGAAAAATCTGGTTAATGCATTCCTAGCTCCTGTTAAGTTGTTTATTTAAAAATAAAATTAATCAGTGGCGCTACAACCTTTTTAGGTCTGGGCCTCAGATTTCTGAATCTGTTTCATGCTCATTTTTCAATCTAATAAGCAAGTAGGTGATCAGCCTCCAGTGCCTGACGCACGCCGACGACTTTTTGGGTCTCAGACACGTCGTCTCCTCTTAATGATTTCCTTCACCGTTCGAGCGAATGTTAAATGCGCACATAGAAAGAAAGTCCATTGGTGCAAAGTCGGGGATCGAATCTACGACATCAGGGATTAGAGTCGCACGCTGAAGCCACTAGGCCAACACTGCTCATACGTTGTTATTTATTTGATTAAAATCTGGATGCCCAGCCCCACCTCCTGGAATCTTACATCGAAGAAGCTCTGTCGTGCATCAGCAAGTGCGTGCTGCCCTGCGGCCGACGGGAGACTCCTCTCCTTGCGGAGCACTCGCCACCCCTGCTCACCCTCCACAAGCAGACCGAGCAGATCCTCATGGCCTTCGTCTCGGTGTTGGAGGGACTGGTGTTGGATCATGAGGAGGTTTTTTGCACAACAACTTTTTTTTTGCCATTGTAAATAAATCGAGACCATATAATACTCCGGTCAATTTAGACCAAAAAATTATAGTGAAGTTACATAAAGTCCCAACAAGCTGAATTTCAGTTAAATTGTTCAAAACATAATTATAAACAGTGTCTAGAAGTTCCCCATCATTCCCGTGTAAGGAAAAAAATTTATTCAAGGGCAAAGGTCAAAAAAATGAGTTTTTCGTGATTTTCAGCAAAACGGTAAGTTTTATCATAAAAGTACCTCAGACAAAAATTGTGGATCATACAATTATCTATAAAAAATGTATCAATACTTTTTTCTTACGAGCCACCGTTTCTGAGATATAACGATTCAAAAAGTTGTACTTGTATTACTCACTGCTCGAACGCCAACTGAAAAAACGATTTTTTTCTTAAAACCAGGAAAAGCTCAGCATCAATCAGATATATATTCATCAAAAAGTTTATTTACTTTTGTAAAGTGTCAAGATCATGTACTATTTTTACACGCAATAACTGGCTGTGATACGACATCTGCATTTTACAGGAGGGGTAAAACAGCAGTTTTCAAAATGTTTGAAAAACGAGATTTAATTCAATGTGCTGAAGTTTTTAAAAGAGTAATTCAACTCAACAAGAAGTTATTACCAACGGCATCCGCTTTCTTCTTTCTATGTACGGAGCTCCTAAAAAAACTACCTGTTTAGATAAGCATCGATATGCATGTTTCGTTAAAAATAATAAAAATAAAAAACAAGTTCAATTAGCTTGTCTTCCTCCAACCTCAGTTGCTGCTCAGCAACATCTTTTTCGAGTATATAACCAAGTTCAAGTGTGGCTTGGTTATCAGCTAGACCCTACAGACTGGGGTTGGATGTTGGTCAACAATATATTAGAGCCAGTTCAAACTTTACTTCCACCTGCGCCGGAAAAACTGCTGAACACTATTTTTTGCAACTGCAAAAAGGGATGCAGTGCTAAATGTGGTTGCAAAAAAGGACTGTCCTTGTTCTTTGGCATGCACAAATTGTCAAGGCCGGTCGTCGATAACAACTTTTATAACTTTTTGAATCGTTATATCTCAGAAACGGTGGCTCGTAAGAAAAAAAGTATTGATACATTTTTTATAGATAATTGTATGATCCACAATTTTTGTCTGAGGTACTTTTATGATAAAACTTACCGTTTTGCTGAAAATCACGAAAAACTCATTTTTTTGACCTTTGCCCTTGAATAAATTTTTTTCCTTACACGGGAATGATGGGGAACTTCTAGACATTGTTTATAATTATGTTTTGAACAATTTCACTGAAATTCAGCTTGTTGGGACTTTATGTAACTTCGAATGTCTAAATTGACCGGGCTATAATATTTCATTATTTATTTTTAACAAAGTTTATTATTTTATTAAATAAATAAAAGCATGTTTAATTATTTAAAGAAAAAACTGTTTGACCGTGACCACGCACGCTGTAAAGCACGCGAAACGTCGGATAAATTTAAAATTATGTTGAATAGTTGTAAATTTATAATAATACATAACTTCAATCCGGTCAACAGTTTTTTCTTTAAATGTGTAAAGGTTATGTAAATCAAAGACAATACTATGTTTAATTATATATAGCACTCACTTTTTTAAGGGGATTCAATATACCTTAGTTACTTGTCATTTATAAAATTAGTAATAATTTCTATTCATCCATTTATACCATACAATCAAAATGTTTACCTTTAACTAAGGCATTAAGACGTCCTTTTCTGTCAAATTGTGTTGACCTTGTGATGAAAAGAGACATAATATTATAGACAGATATATAGCGCATATATTTTGTGTCCAAAGTCCATTGAGCGCTGCTCCAGGTTTTAAATATAAAAATATACCAAATATACCAGTCTGTTACACAGATCCCAGTTATATGTTGCGCCTACTGAATGGTGTCTCCGACACTATCGACATATTTATATGTTCGCAGAGGGAATTCACAGTAGCGATATTGTGTATCTTATGTATTTCATATTATACTCGTATATTTTATTTTTTTCGACATATTGGTTTAGCACTATTGTACCTATATATTTTTGTGAAAAAATAAATAAATATTTACTATTACGATATATTTAAGGTGGTTAATTTTTAAAGAAAAGTAGCTTTCTTAATTTGTAAAATTGTATTCTTTTCAATCCAGGAGTTCGACAACAGCAGCCTGTCGATCCTTCTGGAACAGTCCGTGGAGGACAGCCCCGAGAGCGGCTCCCGTTCCTGGCAGCAGAAGCTGCTCATCGCGAACGCCAACGCCCACTACACGCGGAAGGTCATCTTGGATCGCGTCGCTGACGCCTTCCAGAGGTACGAATCGAGATAAATTATTATTAAGAATTTATACCCGACACCCAGTATAATATAATAACACTTATTTCAGTTACATAATGAAACTTAATCTAATACATATACATATCGACGTAGGAAAGCACATTTGCTGTAAGTAGACATATTGCAATTGTTCACCAGAGCCAAAAAACTTTATTAATTTCGGAAAAAAATTAATAGTGTCTGACCTATCCATGATATTGCTACCATTTTTGAAACATATATTTATTTAACTGCCAGTCACCATTTGCAATGTAAACTTTTTATCCAAAGTTACTATAAGTACGTGTTTGGCTAGTTACAGCAAACAGTTTTTTAAATCACAAACCTTTAAAACGCTGTAACTAAGGAAGAAAAATGTACGCGCGGAAATATTATCAATTTACAGGCGGTAAATATGCTGTATGCAGGAAATTTATGTATTTGGGTACTTTTAATTGCAATTCAAGATGTAAGATTAGTTTATAATTATGATTAGATCTAGAAATGCAGTGGGTCATTTGGTAATGTAATGTTTGGTTGAAATAAAATGTCGTAAATGGTAAAAAAAAACAAAACTGTAGGTTCCCTAAACTTGCTGTAAGTAAACGAATGTAAAAATCACACGCCGCTGAAATGCTGTAAGTAGCGTTAAGTTTTTAAATGGGAAGAAGTAAGTATTTGTAAAGAAAAAAATGCAGATTTTCTTTTGCTGTAAGTGCGAAATGTCTGAAATGACTAGATTTTGGTCTACATACAGCATTTAATCTTGCTAAAAATAATATAAGTACGGGCGTTTTCAACGGCGTATGTAATTTTTTTTTCATCGTAGAGACACAGGACCCAGGTCATTCGATGCGGCTTTTTTTCTGATTCTAATGGCAGGAAAAAGTCACTTTAGGTATTTTGTCTACTTACAGCAAATATGCTTTCCTACGTCGATATATAATAGTATCAATCGCTTATACTGGGAATAAATAAGGCGCAACTACGTTTCTCCGTGAATACAAAAGATTTATTTACAAAAGCAATATCATTATATAAAAATTAATATACTATTAATAAAAAATATATATTTACAAATTATTCACTCACCTGTGAATACAAAAGAAACAACATTTAAAGCCTATATTCTAGGTTTTATAAAGTAAAATAATAAAATAATAAAAATATCTTACATATATTATGTCAAGTGACATAAATTAAACATCGTCGATTAGACGGCAAAGACAACATTACAAAAGAGTTTATATAAAATACAATATAGACAAGAGTTTGTATAGGAACATATATTATGTTTTCCTTAAACATATATAAAACTTATTTTTTTTTTTTACTTTTCTTATTTCCTATTTTTGCAGTAACTTAATGCATTACGTAATTCGCCTAGTGCAAGAACTTAGTGAACATTTCTTAAAAAACGAAAAACAGTGATCCAACAAGAAAAATAACCTAAAAGAAAAATTCTAGATGAGTCATTATTCATAGAAACACGGACATTTTTCGCCAACTAACGCCATCTAGTGACGAGTAGCCAAATTATCAAACAGAACAACTAACGCCACCTAGCGACGAGATGCTATACTACCAAACTAAGATCAACTATCGCCACCTAGCGGCGAGTAGCTGCACCTTCAAGGCATACTTCAAGCAATCTTGCTACATCTGGTACAACCGAATACCAGAGGAAGTTATGTTATGATATGTTAAGAAAAATTCAAAACGAGCTGAACGAACAAAAAACGACAATTGTACAGTCAGCAGATAAAGTTACGGAACAAGTCACGAAAAATATAAACTACCCATTGGAGGAAAATTTTAGTGCATTAGATATAAAATACTAAAACCTCAAAGAGAAGCTGGATAATCAAGAAAAAAGACTATATTTTCTGGAAAAACAGTCAAAGCAGAGGAATATCGTAATCTTTGGACTGGTGGAAAATGAAACATCATATGCAGACTTGGAAAAACACAAACCGAGTTTCATGAATCAATATTTCTCTGCAGATCTAGAACGCAGAGACATTCAAGAAACCAGGAGAATAGGAAAGAAAGGAGAAAAACCCCGACCTGTATCAATTACATTCACTTCATTGGGAACGAAAATAGAAATCTTTAAACAAAGGAGTCTATTAAAAGACACGACTTACTAAAAGAGGACTTCCCACAGCATATTTTAGCTAAAAGAATCCCTTCTTTTAGCAAGAACAGCTAAAAATTGAAAAAGAAAAAGGGAACTCCGCCTCTATTAAGTACGATAAACTGATAATACACTCGAAAAATGAAACAACAATAGGCAACAAGAAAAGAACTCTATCAACATCACCAAACTACAGGGATCTTCCGCATTCAGAGCCAAAACAACAAACACATAAAAAGAACAAAACTCAAACCCAATCAGGTTTACAAAGATCGTCGAGCCTATCAGAGGGAGTTATTTAACCAATGAGTGAATGAATAAGAATACTCGGATTCTTAACTAACAAAAACCGCAACATTCAACCAAACGATCAAACAAATGAAAATAATAAACAATAGCAATTATCGCCCTCTCTCACGGAAAACATATTAGAAAACAAATTAGAAACGAACAGTACCAAACGACATCTTCCAAGCCGGTTGGTCACCGTGGAAGATCAAGACCATAACCCTCCAAAGGAAACGAAGCTCTTTTCAAATACCAAAGGCAGGCCAAATGCACGCTGGACAGACGACGTTATAAAGATAAGCCGGCACGCACTGGATGCGAGTAGCCGAAGACAGGGAAAAATGGTCATCTTCGGAGGAGGCCTTTACCCTCCGCTGAGAAGGGTTCTTGCACCCATAAATATAAAAGCACCTGAAGAAAAGAAATTAATAAAGTACCTATCTAATCATGCACACTAATGTATATTTTTAACTTTTTTATTTTTATTTCTCTTTTTTTTCTTTTTAGTAAACCTATGTTATTTTGTATATCTTTTAGCAAGAAATAAAAGGCTTTTTATTTTATTTATTTATAATACAATAGAAAACTAAACTAAAAACATAATATAAACATAACAATTAAAAACTTAAAAACTAAACCATTTCATAACTAATTATAAATAATGCAATTCTTGTGCAACTAAATATATCCGACTCACAAGCAATAGTGTTTAGGGTGCGCAAGACACGAGTAAATGTGTACGCGCTCGTGGCAAACAATTGCGAACGCTAACCACGCCGAGTGATTATTTGGCCAGCATTTCCGCATTATATATTTTACCTCTAAGACTTTAAAACATATAATGCGATAGTAAGGTCCCTCCTTACCTCTAACTTGTTGTATCCTACCATACCCACGACCAACAAAGTCTTACTTAACGTAATCTAATACATCATTTAACCCGTTTTTGGTAACCAGCGTGTCCTGTCATACATAGGCCTCTTCCAGCTGCTTCCATTCTTTTCTGATGTTAGCTCTTCTTGTCTAAGTGCCTCCTATTCTCTTTATATCGTCTGCCCATCTCTTGCTCTGTCTTCCTCTTTTCCTTTTTCCATCGCGTGGTTGCCATCCTGTAATTATTTTTGTCCATTTCAACCTGCTATTTCTCGTCATGTGCATCAAGAAACCAGTCAACTTAAAAAAAATCTCCTCTCTGCAACAGCTACAGCGTCATGCCTCCCCTGGCGGGGCTCAAGGCGTCCCGCGAGGCCCTGAGCTCGCTCGAGACGCGCATCGGGGAGCAGTACATCGAGCAGAAGGGGGATCCCTTGGTGGGCACCATCGAGCCGAGCATGTTCGTGGGCCGACATCAGCCCCTCACCATGCCCACCGACGCCCGCCCCTACGTCTACGAGATCATCAACAACCTCATCGCCGTGCACGCGGAGGTGACCGTTTTTATTTCATTTTTAGTTTGCTATAAAGATTATTGTTAGACGTTTGACATTTGCACACTTTGAGCAGTGTTGGCCTAGTGGCTTTAGCGTGCGACTCTCATCCCTGAGGTCGTAGGTTCGATCCCGGGCTGTGCACCAATGGACTTATTTCTATGTGCGCATTTAACATTCGCTCCAACGGTGAAGGAAAACATCGTGAGGAAACCAGCTCAGCTTGGACCTACTAACAGTCGAGGGCGTATGTCACAGGAGGCTGATCACCTACTTGCCTATTAGATTGACATTGATATCATGAAATGATACAGAAATCTGAGGCCCAGATCTAAAAAAGTTTGTAGTGAGTTTTTTTTAATTTGCAGTCAACTATCAAAATCAATTACACAAGAATGTTTCTTATATCTAATTTAATTAATTATGTAATTTTTAAAATAAATATACTGATTTTCTAAATAAATGATGCCATGACGTCATAATTAAAAACACAACATCAGGTGGACAGCATCTGCGGGCCTTCCTCGTCCCGCTACGTGCGAGACATCTGCGAGACGGTGTGCGAGGAGGTGTCCCGCTTGGCAGCCACGCCCTTGTCCCGCACGGCCGCCTTCCGCGCCAGGCTCGACTGCGCCCTATTGAGACTGGCCTGCAGCGAACACCTCACTAGGAAAGCCGAGTGAGTGCACGAGTTACAAAAACAATTAACCACCGAAGTCAATTGTCATCTGTCAACGTCAACTTACTTTGCATAACACAGACTAAACAACATAAAAGAAATCCAATGTTAAACAATAATTCGATGTATACATATTTTTTGTACTAACACCTATGACCGATATATATAATAATATATTATTCAAGCATTAATCAAAAAGAAATTCTTAAATAATAAATGATTAAATAATAAATTATTAAATAAGAAATTGTTAAATAATAAATTATTTAAGAATTTCCTATCTTGAAAGGTTCCAGATCATTTTGTATAAATAAAAAACGTGTGTGTACACGCGTTAGAAGTTATACTTCTTTGGCGTAAAAAGATAAAAATCTTTTCAAAAATTGTATGCACCGTTTGTAGAAAAAACGACATTAACAATAGAAAAAAGGTATTAAATACATTGAAAGTTTTATTATAACGCATTATCTAGTTAAATAAAGTTTATTTAAATATTACAAAATAAAATGTTGACTATAGCTAACTTCAGTGTGTCGAATTTTTGTGACGGTGTGCATACGCATCGTAAAAATTTACTGTCATCATTTTTCCCTAACGCGCCAAAAGAAGTATAACTTCAATAATTCGTGTATGTGTGTGTCACTGAACTCCTCTTAAACGGACCAATTTAAATGATTTTTTTTGTATAATTTGGGCGCCCTGGATGGTTTAGATTCACATATCAGCCCAGCAGATGGCGCTGCAGTACTTTCATACTTTGTTCAATATCCTAATCACCTGAAATGTCATGTAGGACAGCGTCTGTCGGGTTCGCTAGTATAATTATAATATAATCTTTAATAACGGTTACCTAGACATTTTTCCTATTCATAAACTAAATCAGTATCTGCAGTCTTTTGCCTCTATCTGTCAAATCTGTTTACGCTATGATGAAACAGACATGCGTACTTTAGTTACAACTCTGCAATTTGATTGGAGAAAGAAAGGTCTACTGTTCCTCTGCGAAGGGGAGGATCCTCGGAATAGAGGCTATGATTGAAATTGTAGGTATAACCGGTGGGATTGAAAGTTCGTAGGCTAACGTAGAAAATATCTTTTTTTTTGTAGAATTTGAATTGATTATTATAGTTTATAGTTTTGATACCATTTTATAGCAAGATTTGTTTTTAGCCTCAAAATAGGCTTCAGTTTCGGGGATTAACTCTTCATCAGCGTAAAATTCTTCAGGGGGAGCCAAATCTTCCCAAAAAACTCTGGATCTATTGCGATTGAACAGTTCCAAACACTGCTCAGAATCATCGATTCGTTGTTGGTTTTACTCGATTATGAGCGCGAACATTCATTTAATACTAGTGGTGCCATCTATGCATCCCCCTATTATGTATGTGTGTGTGCCCACCTATTATATACTCAGTTGGAAATACTTTGTATGGCGTCATCGTATGGATTTTTTTATTGCCCATGGATACTCAATGCCAGAGGGCTCGCGAGTGCGTAGCCGGCCTTTTAAATATTGGTACGCTATTTGTAACAATAATCATAATATAAACTATTCTTTATCTAACTTAACTAAAAAAATAATTGTGTTTTTCTCCTGAATGAATTAATGATTAATAGGAAAAGTTGTCTTTCAGGAGCTACCTGATAGAGGCACTGGCTGGACTTCCGCCTCTCGACAACGAAGAAGATAAAAAGTGAGAAGCTTTTTGTAATTGATTTATCATTTGGAGTCTATACTCTTTTCTATAAAGAAAAGTCAGGTTATAAAACAAAATAACTAAATTATTATTCTTTTGTTTTTTTTAAATTTTCAATAACAAAAGAAAATTCAAAAAAGGAGGACGAAAACTTTTAAGTGATGTTGTTGGAATTGAAAAGCAGTGTACTAAATATCACAAGTGTATGTTTGTCCACTTTGTGTGAGAAGTTTAGATCCTTTTGAATTATCTCATGTAACAGTCCAAATCTAAATTGGTTTAGTACTTTGTGGTGAAATTAATTCCTCTTTGTTACAGAAGAATGGATAATCTAATCCAAGGATTCAAGAAGAGAATGGAACTGCAATTGGCCTGTCTCAATTGTAATGTCGAGACTATTTGAACTATTTATTTATTGTTTACCAAAATGTACCTTAATATCAAATACCAAATAATAAAGATCGAATCACTTTACAATCAGATCATTTCCTATGGAATTATTTTTGAAGTTGTACTTCTTTTGGCGCGTTAGGGAAAAATGATGAGAATAAAGTTTTACGACGCGCGCGCACACCGTCACAAAAATCCGACACCCAGAAGTTAGCTATAGTTAACATATTATTTTTTTTAAATTCTGTTGATGCTGTATTTGTACGATATTTAGACAATGTTTCTACAAGAATATTTGTATCCTACTTTAGCTATCATAAGCAAGAGGCTCAAAAGTAATTCACATAATATCTACTGAACTCCAACCAATGGTAGTAACTATCAAATGTATAACTTGCATGCTTAAATAAAAAATGTCAATTTCTTTAATTATGTAACAATATTTTTTTTGTGATATTTAAATAAACTTTATTTACTAGATAATGCGTTATAATAAAACTTTCAATGTATTAAATATCTTTTTTCTATTGTAAGTGTCGTTTTTTCAACAAACAGAACAACATTTTTGAAAAGATTTTATCTTTTTACGCCAAAGAAGTATAACTTCTAACGCGTGTACAAAAGTACACACATGTTGTTTTTGCATGGTATTAAGTAGGTGATAAGCCGTCTGTGTCACGCGTCCATACTCCGTTGGGTATAACAAAAACGTATAGGATTTGACAAAGGGTAAGATTCCTGACGATAGTTGTACGAGAAAAAAATAATTGTGTAACTGGGATTCGAACGCACGACCCCGGGCTAGCCAGTAACAATTTGCAATATACCTTAAGTATTAATAAGAATAATATTTATAAATAAAAATGTATTTAATTAAATTTTATTTAATAAATAATTCACAAAAATTTGTTTTATTCCTCCGCTGTCTTGTTTTGATAACTCTGAAAACATTTTAGATTAATTAAGATTGAGATTGAATTTTAAAATATTAAACAATATTCAACTAAATACGATATTTAAACGAAATTATTCAAGAAATGTTGGCCTAGTAGCTTCAGCGTGCGACTATCATCCCTGAGGTCGTAGGTTCGATCCCCGGCTGTGCACCAATGGACTTTCTATGTGCGCACTTAACATTCGCTTGACCGGTGAGGGAAAATATCGTGATGAAACCGGCTTGCCTTAGACCGAACAAGTCGACGGCGTGCGTCAGGCACAGAAGGCTGATCACCTACTTGCCTATTAGATAAACAAATGATCATGAAACAGATACATAAATCTGAGTCCCTGACCAAAAAACTCTCTTTTACTAACTTTAAATCTTTTATTTTTGAACAATATTCAAGACGTAACTCAGAGTTTCTAGATTTGATTTTCGACAAAACTATTTTTTTAAAGGCTAATTTAACCTACATGTAAAGAAAAAGTATAAATATTGGCTAGCTAAGAAATTTAAGTCTTGTGGCTTAAGCGAAATCAAATAAAACACGCCCAGATATTTGTTCTTTTACGAAAAAATCGCGTTTGCAAGTTGCTAAACAAATATAAATAAAATCTTGTAAGGTTGCTAAACTAATATCCAGGAAATAGAAGGTTCGCATATACAAATATTTATGGAACAATTGTACCAAAATAATTGACAAAAAAAAAAATCTAAAGCTAGTTGATATGGTGTACCATTGGGCTAGGTTACCTCAGCGGCCTGCCTGTGTAGGAGTTGTGTCATGGCGGGTCCGGTTTCAGCCACCATTTTCCTGAAATAGCCTTTCCTATTCTGTAAGAGGATGTGGGGGTGATCGAACTCCATGACATGACCGGCGTCCAGGACTAGAATCTGTTAATCATATTAATATATATATAAGGTAAGCGGTCGCAATTGCTGGCAGTGCCTCGGGCGCGTACGAACTTACTCAGAGAAGCACCATTTACGCGTGTCTTGCGCACCCTAAACACTATTGCTGAAATTGCAAGAATGAATTGCATTATTTATAATTAGTTATAAAAAGGTTTAGATTTTAAGTTTTACTTAGTTTTTAGTAAGTTTTCTATTGTATTAGTATTAAGTTACTGTAAAAATAGGAAATAAGGAAAATAAATATTTTGTGAAATTCCTAAATTTACTAGTTTAGCGTCATATGGGTTCCAACGTGCAATTATTGAATGATAATAAAAAAAGAAGATCTAAATTAACATACACTTCTTCTACTGGTGCTACTTAACACTTTATTGCTAAAGGTTGGCTTTTAGCAACTTGAATTGCCGGGTAACTTGCGCGAGTCTGAAAAGCTCCTCAACGGATTTGATGCAACCACGACTTCTTTTTATCAGTTTAACATATCTGGTACCTGCTACCAGGTCCGAAATCAAGCGTGGGAGCGGGAAAAGCTTTTTGATTTCTATTTGGTTTGTACATAAATTGTACTATGCATAATTGTTGATAGAACTTTTGAACTTTGAATTATTATTTACTTGTAAAACATTACGAATGAACTACCTTCGATAATTTAATATGATTAAAACAGAAAGACAAGTAAAATATGGTTTAAAAAAATACTGCATAAATAAAAAAAAGGGTGCGTGTACATATGTACGCGCGTAAGAAGTTATACTTCTTTGGCATTATTTAAAATAGTTTTTGATTGCATGCAAATAATTAATTACAATTAAATAATCAAAGACTGGAAAAGGAGTCATTATAGTTAATAAAGTTCAGTTTACATTTGAAAAATTAAATAAATAAATATTTATTATTATTCTCTTACATTAAGTGAAACATAAATTCTATTATTATTCGAATGTTGTTTTTAAATTATGTCCAATGCCGTAGCATCTTCCGTGGGCAACTTCATTCTGTTAATTTTGTGTCACGGTGCGCGCGCATCGTAAAATTTCACTCTCATCAATTTTTCATAGCGCGCCTAAAGAAGTATAACTTCAAAAATAAATAAATTATAATAATTGCATAATTTGATAGAAAATGCTATGCAATAGCTTCACCGCGGCAGTCCCCGAGTGCCGCACGTTTTTTATTTTTGAATAAACACATAACCTGCATTAAAATGAATCCTACCTTATCGGAGTCGACGACAGTGTTCAGCCGATGTGCCACAGTGATCACCGTGCACGCCTTGAAGTGGTCCCGTATGGCAGATTGGATCAGGGCGTCCGTCTGAGCGTCCACGTTCGCCGTGGCCTCGTCGAGTAACAGAATCTTGTCGTCGTTGACGATAGCCCGGGCGAGGCACACGAGTTGGCGTTCACCCACGCTGAAGTTGGCTCCACACTCCGATACTTGCTTGTTTAGCGCCTCTGTAGGTTTTGATTCACATTACAAACTGTGTTCACAAATCGCTGCAATGACGTCATACCCTAAAACCCGCTATCGAAGTTTCCGGCCGCTAAGGATGTATACAACTTTTCAATCTTAGGGGCTGGGGCCTTCGGACCGACTAGTCACTGGTTATACTGGTCCAGGATCTTCCCTTTAAGTTGGAGGAACAGTACATTTCCTTCCTCCACAAGTCGATAAAAACCAGGAAATCAAGGGCGATGAACGGATGAGAAAATTGGCAAGAATCTCTCCATTGGTTATTATTTTGTTTTAAAAGATTATTGTACGGGCCTGCAACTATTACACCTTATTAAAAATCAGTGGCGCTACCACCTTTAACTCTGGGCCTCAGATTTTTGTATCTGTTGCACCTTAGCCTCAGGTGCCTGACATACGCCATCGACTTTGGGTCTAATGCAAGCCGGTTTCCTCACGATATTTTCCTTCATACGAGCGAGTGTTTAACACGTTCGTTGCATTACGAGATCTATCAGATCTCTTGCAGGACTTTTGTATTGTGCGTTGAACATAATCGTGTTTTTTCACTCCTTGCGGGAGGGTCTAACTTGTAAAGTTCTTTAAGGATGAGCAGGACAAATATATATATTTTCTTCCTACTTAAAGCTGAATTCAAGGACTTTAAAAAAAAAATTAGAGATGGATTAGGTCCCGAACGCACAGTACTGTAATTGTTTTAATTCCTTGCGTTAGGAGATATGTCGGTACTCGTGAAATCGTACGCCTCGTAGACGCAAGAGATGGAGGATGGGATTTTTAGTGTTGTCCTAGAATCGACATTCGGGAAGTTGCGGGCACGTTTTGGAAATTACACTCGCGTATATATCAGCGTGTTGATTATTTTTGATAAACAATGAGTGATTAAGTTTAAAAGAAAAAAGTGTAAAAAATCTATTTTATTGGTGAGGTTTCTAACAAAAATTCAACGCCGGATTATACTGCTGCATCGTCCAGTAAAATATTTGTTTTGGAAAATGTTCAAATTTGCCCCGCATTGACTAATAATGACAGTGATTCTGATTATGAAATATTTAACGATAAACCTTTTTCGTTGGAGCACACGCAGTTAAACAGCACTGACGCTTCTAAAAAAACTAAACGAATTGTTACCATTTGCGCGTAATGTGCTTACCATGTTTTATTGAAAAACACTTTGCATAATTAATAAAACTTTTAGAATCGATAACTGAGATATTATTTTATTCCCATCACTACTTACTACACATATTGAACTATCTTCGGGTGCGGTACGAGATACAATCGATATCTAATTTTTTTTTGTTATTTGTAGTTTATTCAAATGTCGTAACTGCGTGCGAACCTAGCAAAATATAAAGCAATTAGCTATCTTTCACCCACAAAAAATTCAAAATATATGTCATTGTTTTTTTGGAAGATATAAATTATTTTCAAAAGTGTATTTTTAGGAGACTGATTAGGTCTCAAACGCACCAGAGGATAGGTTTGTTACGAGATCTTTTAGGTCTCCAACGCACCAGCTGAAAGTTCTTTAAAAATGATGGCGCAGTGTACGTGTTAATGCGCTCATAGACATAAAGTCAATCGGTGCACAGCCGGGATCGAACATACGACCTTAGGGATGAGAGTCTCACGCTGTAGCCACTAGGCCAACATGCCCTTGAAATAATTATACATAATAATAA